TGGTGATGTAATTAATACCGTCTTTAGCCCACAGTGGATGTATGATGCACATGTTGACTTGCAAACTTCAGTGGTATCTTTAATTTGAATTTCCTTTATCCTCACTCCTGATATTGAATGTCTTAATAGATTTCCTTCCCAGGGAAGTTGCTGTCTCTTGGTGGGAGAAGGGCACTTCCGTGAACATCTGCCTCCTTTGTCAGGGAAGTGAGAGATTAACCACTGCAACAGCTCTAGTGCCGCAGCTCGGGAACCCTCTGACGGCGTAGCATATGTCTGTCTCTTGCACGGCTTGCTGCTAGACTGCCTAGAGTCAGTCAGTATTTATAAATTGAACATGATACTGTAAAATTGGCTTAGGCACCTGGCTGTGCCCCATTATTAAGTAAAGTGTCTGCTACTCCGTAAGGGTGCTGTTTCTGTTCTGTTTTGATTAAAATACTGCTGCTGTGCAGAGAATATTGAGAACCAGGCAGCTGACTCCTGCACTGATCAAGTCTGTTCTGGAGGAGTGACTCTAATGCAGCTGTAGTTTGCTGCAGAATAGTGGTACTACAAAAACTGTAGGGATCAAATCTGTGCTGCTCCATTCCTAAGAAAGGTCTAGAATGGACTCAATTTAGACAATAAAACAATCAGCAGACTTTGCTATTTTTTCTGCAGCAGAGGAGGAATTTATCTGAACTCGCAGTTTGGAAGACAGCTTAGCATACTTACCAGGACAGATTCATGTGCAAAAGTCCATTATCTCCCCACACAAACCCATTCTGGGCTACCTACTGTTCAGGATGTTTGATGTCATTTTCTAAAAAGGTAGCTGCTGGAAGGAGGAGGGTGTGCTTAGTGTCCTTCAGTGACCTCTCTGCTGACTGTAGAAGCAACAGCGACTGGCTGGTTCTGAAGACTTTTGTTGGAGTTCTTCCTTCCTACACTGCCATCAAACCTCCAGGGCAGTGGCTGTAACGCAGGGATTGGCAGAAAGTTGGTGCAGAGAAATTAGATGTTCAGCTTGAATACTAGAAACCTAAAAACACCCAATGAAACAAGTAAACGTGGCATCTTGAGGGCCAGCATAGCACCAGGAATCTTTCCCATCTTTGTGTGAAGACCCAAAATCTGAAATGGGAACAAGAAGTTTTTAAAAAAAAAAACAAAGCCCCACCAAGAATTGCCCTAATTTAGGCAACCTGTTGTCTAGAATCATAGATCATAGAATATCAGGGTTGGAAGGGACCTCAGGAGGTTATCTAGTCCAACCCCCTGCTCAAAGCAGGACCAATCCCCAATTAAATCATCCCAGCCAGGGCTTTGTCAAGCCTCACCTTAAAAACTTCTAAGGAAGGAGATTCTACCACCTCCCTAGGTAATGCATTCCAGTGTTTCACCACCCTCCTAGTGAAAAAGTTTTTCCTCATATCCAACCTAAACCTCCCCCACTGCAACTTGAGACCATTACTCCTTGTCCTGTCCTCTTCTACCACTGAGAATAGTCTAGAACCATCCTCTCTGGAACCATCCTCTCTGGAACCACCTCTGCTTTCAACGGTAGTTGAAAGCAGCTATCAAATCCCCCCTCATTCTTCTCTTCTGCAGACTAAACAATCCCAGTTCCCTCAGCCTCTCCTCATAAGTCATGTGTTCCAGACCCCTAATCATTTTTGTTGCCCTCCGCTGGACTCTTTCCAATTTATCCACATTCTTCTTGTAGTGTGGGGCCCAAAACTGGACACAGTACTCCAGATGAGGCCTCACCAATGTCGAATAGAGGGGAACGATCACGTCCCTCGATCTGCTCGCTATGCCCCTACTTATACATCCCAAAATGCCATTGACCTTCTTGGCAACAAGGGCACACTGCTGACTCATATCCAGCTTCTCGTCCACTGTCACCCCTAGGTCCTTTTCCGCAGAACTGCTGCCTAGCCATTCGGTCCCTAGTCTGTAGCTGTGCATTGGGTTCTTTCGTCCTAAGTGCAGGACCCTGCACTTATCCTTATTGAACCTCATCAGATTTCTTTTGGCCCAATCCTCCAATTTGTCTAGGTCCTTCTGTATCCTATCCCTGCCCTCCAGCGTATCTACCACTCCTCCTAGTTTAGTATCATCAGCAAATTTGCTGAGAGTGCAATCCACACCATCCTCCAGATCATTTATGAAGATATTGAACAAAACCGGCCCCAGGACCGACCCCTGGGGCACTCCACTTGACACCGGCTGCCAACTAGACATGGAGCCATTGATCACTACTTGTTGAGCCCGACAATCTAGCCAACTTTCTATCCACCTTATAGTGCATTCATCCAGCCCGTACTTCTTTAACTTGCTGACAAGAATACTGTGGGAGACCGTGTCAAAAGCTCTGCTAAAGTCAAGAAACAATACATCCGCTGCTTTCCCTTCATCCACAGAACCAGTAATCTCATCATAGAAGGCAATTAGATTAGTCAGGCATGACTTTCCCTTGGTGAATCCATGCTGACTGCTCCTGATCACTTTCCTCTCATGTAAGTGCTTCAGGATTGATTCTTTGAGGACCTGCTCCATGATTTTTCCGGGGACTGAGGTGAGGCTGACTGGCCTGTAGTTCCCAGGATCATCCTCCTTCCCTTTTTTAAAGATTGGCACTACATTAGCCTTTTTCCAGTCATCCGGGACTTCCCCCATTTGCCACGAGTTTTCAAAGATAATGGCCAATGGCTCTGCAATCACAGCCGCCAATTCCTTTAGCACTCTCGGATGCAACTCGTCCGGCCCCATGGACTTGTGCACGTCCAGCTTTTCTAAATAGTCCCTAACCACCTCTTTCTCCACAGAGGGCTGGCCATCTACTCCCCATGCTGTGATGTCCAGCGCAGCAGTCTGGGAGCTGACCTTGTTAGTGAAGACAGAGGCAAAAAAAGCATTGAGTACATTAGCTTTTTCCACATCCTCTGTCACTAGGTTGCCTCCCTCATTCATTAAGGGGCCCACACTTTCCTTGGCTTTCTTCTTGTTGCCAACATACCTGAAGAAACCCTTCTTGTTACTCTTGACATCTCTTGCTAGCTGCAGCTCCAGGTGCGATTTGGCCCTCCTGATTTCATTCCTACATGCCCGAGCAATATTTTTATTCTCTTCCCTGGTCATATGTCCAACCTTCCACTTCTTGTAAGCTTCTTTTTTATGTTTAAGATCGCTAGGATTTCACTGTTAAGCCAAGCTGGTCGCCTGCCATATTTACTATTCTTTCGACTCATCGGGATGGTTTGTCCCTGTAACCTCAACAGGGATTCCTTGAAATACAGCCAGCTCTCCTGGACTCCTTTCCCCTTCATGTTAGTCCCCCAGGGGATCCTACCCATCCGTTCCCTGAGGGAGTCGAAATCTGCTTTCCTGAGTCAGGATCCTGAACTCAACCAACTCATGGTCACTGCCTCCCAAATTCCCATCCACTTTTGCTTCCCCCACTAATGCTTCCTGGTTTGTGAGCAGCAGGTCAAGAAAAGCTCCCCCCCCCAGTTGGCTCCTCTAGCACTTGCACCAGGAAACTGTCCCCTACGTTTTCCAAAAACTTCCTGGATTGTCTATGCACCGCTGTATTGCTCTCCCAGCAGATATCAGGAAAATTAGTGTCACCCATGAGAACCAGGTTAACTAGGTCTAGGTTAACTCCATACCTCTTCTCCACCCCCTCACCCCCACCCCCATTGGGGACAGAACTGGGTAGATAGATTTTGGGTGAGGGAGGAATGGAAAGGGAGATCACTGAAAGTCTCTCTGGTGTGATTGCCTGATGGAAGCAAGGAGGTGTCACTGACTTGGAGGAGATACCTGTCCCATTTCCATTGCTGTTCCTGTTCCTTGGTTACATGCTCTGCCTCCTTTTGGTTAATGGATTCCAAAAGAACCAATCATGGTTTTGACTGGAAAATGGGTCTGTCTGACCAGAGCCCATATTAGACATCAGTCAGTCTGAACGATCTCAAACTAAATTCTCTTGCTTTGAAAATCAACTTTTTAGTTTTTCTAAACTTGTGCTTCTGTGGTTACAAGTCTCTGCTATCTTAATACCATAATCCTCACAGCATCAAGGTTTCTCATGGGAGGACTGGTCAAAGTAGATGCTGATGCAGTTTCATATTTCAGAATGGGGGAGAAGGAGGGGTCTAATAGGATGGGTCTGGAGCAAAGTAGTTAGTGCACAGATGCCTGAGACATGGGCTCTCTACAACAGTAAGACTGTCTACAATATGGCCTATGTCAGGATAACTTATGTTGCTCGGGGGTGCAAATAAGCCACCCGCCTGACCAACATGAGGTATAGCGTCATAAGTGCTCATGTGCTTTGTGCTACCCTGGCAGGAGAAGCTCCTCTGCCATGTCTTCTGCTGCTCACAGAGGTGGGTTTCCTGTATGCTGACGGGAGAGCTCTGGCCTGTTGGTATAGAGCGTATTCACCAGACGCTCTGCAGTGCTCTACGTATAGACATGGCCTAAGTAAGGCTTTCCAGCAGTGGGTGTGGATGGCTTCTCCTGCATGTGGGGTGGAATGCAGCACCTATTTAGCAATGCAAAACAGTACCTCAGAGTAATTCTTGGGAGAGAACTTGGCTAGTTGATTTTTTATTTTTATTTTTATTTATTTTTATATAATCTGGATAGCCCATGGTGAGGTTTGAATTCTGTTTGCCTTGCAACTAACTCTCCTAAGTGGGCCATTAACTACTCTTTTCCTACCCCTAACAAAAGGGTGCATGTCACTCAGCCTAGAGGCACTGAACAGAGCCCACGGTTACATGTGTAGCATATCAAATCTAATTTTTAGGTTCACCAAATTGGTTCTGTATATCTTTCCATCTGTCCTAGTGAATAGGGATAATGTCATTACCCCAGAGCTGAAGGCACGCTGTTCCCCTGAGGGAAATCCTGGTGAGAGGGTAGGAGTGCTGGAAGAAGTGACAGTAACTTGCATAGATAAACTCTTGCTGTAAACCAGCCCTTCCTTGCTCTTCTCTCCATAGCGCTGGCATCGCTGTTGGCTTCTATGGAAATGGGGAGACCAGTGACGGCATCCACCGGCTGACATACTCACTGCGACATGCAAACCGCACGGTGGTTGGGGTCCAAGCCCGGGTAAGTACAGGGAAGGACTGACTGTAGCAAGGAGTTGAGGGGGGGTGTGTGTGTGAGAGAGAGAGAGAGGTTTCCATCTGTGTCTGTCCCTCTTTTGTTAGTCTCTGAATAGAGTAATGTTTGTCACAATTTCCATTATTAGGGAGATAATTTCTTCATCTCTATTGATTTTAAAAATATCAAAGCAAAATAAACATATTAAATGAAGTGTTCTCTCACGATTGTGTGTGGTTAAAAACAGCTTCTCATTAGCACTCCTCCGCCTGCAGAAGAGGTGCCAGGCCAAAAGCAGAGAACAGTAGCTCTGTAGTAAATGGCACTGTTAATAAATATGGTGGTTTGCAGTATTGTGCTTAAGGTGTGCTCTCTCTAGGGGCTTTCATTTTGTTACTCCTCTGCAGCTGTGGTCTGCCTATTGTTATCCCAACACCACAGTGGGCTTCCAGTGCACACTGACTTGTGGCTCAAAAGGAAGCCTCTGCTTTACAATCCATCCCAAAAGTAAAGCAAAGGAGCCTGATTAAAAGCAGGAAAATAATCTTATTCTCTTGCCTGTCCAGCCCTGGTGAATCTCTTTTCTAGGTTTATGGTGGTACTTGTGGTGGCTTACCTCCATCTTCAGTGCCAAATGAATCAGAAGATATGACTCCCTCATTGTAAGTTACCTATGAAGATAAATGGTCCCAGAGTCTGGAAGAGCCTTGGTGCAGTAATATGGAAATTGTTCCTCACTTGTTGGCAGTGATAATCCTGATCTCCACCCTCCCTGGTGGTCTTCCTAGACTGGCAGACTCTCTTGTTAATGTTTTTTTACCTTGTTCTTCTGTCTCGTCCACAGGTGTTGGACACTGCCGTGGCCCTGAACCAAACAGTGGAGCCGAACCTGCTGATCCTTGAGGAGATGTTCATGAAACAGACTGATTACCTGCACGTCATCCAGAAACTCCAGGGCCTCTTGGATGACTTGATCAGGCAAACAACAGAGATCCCTTTCTGGAAGAATGAGGAACTGTCATTAGAGGAACTGGCTGTTCAGATTGATCTATATGACTGGTACAGGTGGGCAACATGTTGGCCTCTATCACTGATGTGACATCCATAAGATTGAGTGAGTGTGTGTGTGTGTGTGTTGGGCCACGATGGATGCTAAAGCTTGTGTCTTTAGGTCAGATCAACATGTGAAGATTTTTCCAGCAACTTGATCTATAGATTTGTTACACACCAGCATGGGTTTTAGGTCTGTCTTCACTGGGATTGTTTTCCTGAGCAAAAGTGTGTTGAGTCTTAGTAAAAACAAGTTAGAACAGATGTGACTTGACTTAATCACCAGATGAAGTGTTACTTTAGCAGGTAAAGTCCATTAAGTTATGTTGCTCATGCTCTCTGGTGCTGGCATGGGGTTAGCTTTTTCACTTTTCTGCCTCGCTGTCTGGACTTTCTATAGATGAAGGCCTGCCACACGCTATAATGCATTCACGATACAGAGGCCTTGTTACAGCAGCTGCTGGAGATGTACAGAATTGACCATCGCTATTTGGGAGAGAAATGAATAGATAGTTGGTGCTCAGATACACTTCAGGAGTCCCCTCTGTCCAGAAGTGCTCTTATTATTCTTCAGGCAGACATAGATCAAACTAAACTTTGTGGACTATTGTTGTATTCGCTCTTTCTATATAGCGTCCAGCTGCATAGACCGGTTACCCTTTTAAGTTTGAAGTAAGTTACTGACCATCTTAATGTTTTGGTCACTCTTGCAAACGTGTTCTCATGCCTATGTAGCAGAGCTAGCCAGCTGAGGACACTGTAGACTAGTTATGTGATCTGAGTAGTACAGTTAATTAGTAGTGAATTTTATTTGCTAGGCTTGACTGGGGGGAGGGGAGAGCCAAGTTTCTCTCTCAAGACATGCTCGCCTATTCTCTAGACACCAGTTTTTGTCTTCAGACTATCTGTTTCTCTATATATTCCAGGTGGCTGGGATACCTGGGCCTACTTCTGTTCCATGTCCTGATCTGTTTGCTGGTGCTCTTTGGACTAATTAGAAATTCCAAGGCTATTCTCATTGGGTAAGTCCTGACACGGAGACAGTGCTTGAGGAAATGCAGGCAGAGGATTAACAATAGCTAGTTGAGTCCTTCGGACTGTGCCGTCGGATCCATTCATGGGCTGCTGAGTAGTATTTGTAGAGTGCAGTGATGGCTGATTGCGTGCTTAAGAGCTATGCTCTGCAGAGCCTCTCTAAACTGACGGGATTTAGGACAACATCTGGGATACATTCCCAGGAAGATTTTTTTTATTTTTTGGCAGAAGAACTCTATTGTATCTGTTTTAACATCCAGCTTTAGTGTCCAAAAGACAAGGAGCTTATTCCTGAGGGTGCCTTGATTCCAACAGTTAGTACCAGTAACCTCTTTCTGGTTCACGAAAAGCTGCGATGCATGGTGAAGACCCTCTCAAGATTAAAATGGCCTTTTAAAAGGAAGAATCCACTGATGCTCCGGATGTTGAGGTGGGATTTAAACCTGGTGATTGATACTGTGCATGCAGTCTCCAGCCTTCCACCTTCACATGTGTCCTGGTAGTATGCCTGATTGTCATATTACCTTTCCTCTGGCCTAGGCTGTGACACTTCAGCAGACATGAAACTGTTCACTGTGAAGGCCACTGAAACTGCTGCAAAGCAAGAGTTGTGTGTTTGTCAGAGTAGAACTAGTCATGTGGATCAACTTTATTCACATGTACATTGCAGATATTTCCACCATGCTGGAACATCCTGTTAAAATATAACCGTATTCCCCCAGTCATCTTCTGACATGGTTTGCATCTTGCATATTTGGCTAGGATCACACTGTGTATTTGTAAACGTTATGAAAATTTGATACCATGATGGCCCCTTGGCCATGTTTATCACAATGCCCAAGCATGATGGTAATTGCAATGTATATTCAGCCTTTAGTTACCTGCCAGATTATTACATACCTGGTACGTTATAAGGGACAAAATTGCAAATGTATGCACAGATGGTAAACCCGCAGTTCAAATTAGAAACTCATTCTTTATTAGCCAGAGTCTCAAATTAAGGCATTTCCCAAAGGAAGTTCACAGAATAAAGAACCCATGTTTTGCAGCCAAGCAAGATGGTGAAATGCCAGTTGTAGATCTTCTAGTCAAACAGTTACTGGCCCAATCCCCTTCATTTACATTAAAACCCCAAATGCTCCATAGTGAACTGATTGGCCGAACATGGCAAAGTGTACACCACCACCCTATCCATATGTCACAATACAGCAGAAGCTTGTTAATGTACAAACCTGATAATTTTCACAACCACTCTGCCCAGAAGTGGAGCAAGACTCAGACTGAATAGCAGAGTACTGTCCAGAAGCTGTGTATTGCTGAGCCTTCGCTTCTTCTATGAAATAAACCACACACTTACTAATATAATGCAATATATAATTAAAGCAAAACTTTTCGAAAAGTGGGATTTTTTTTATATGCAATTCCCTTGATTTTGTTATGATTTGATGAATTGCAAAATGCAATAAACTATTTTGGCTCTTCTAGCCATTAATGAGAGTATGATGTCAGTACAATAAACTAATATAGCCCTTCCCTGGTTTACTATTCAGGTGATCCTAATGCACTCAGTATTTAATTTACATTGACATTCATTGCCATATTTTGTAAATGTAAATATCTCAAAATCATGAACAGCTTTTTTCCTCTTTTATGAAACAGCCATCATACTCTGACTTCTTGTACACTCAGACTGTGTTAATCCCAGAGACCTAGAATTTGGGATAACTGGTAGACTAGTTCATGATTACTAGTGCCACCTTTCATCTTAATCCACCCTCTTCCCCAGATTATAACAGTACTGTTAATGTACATTTAGCGTCTTCTGCTCCTCCTCCATCTATTGGAATATAATCATTCTGCTAGGATCTCAACTAGTCCATTCTGGCCCAAAAGACGAAGCACATTAGTTGGGAATCTGGGTCTCTCTTAAACTGGGGAGAATTGATGGGTTGGTTTTTGGAGAAGTGAAAGTCTCTCTTGCTAGAGGTTTTGTATCTTACCAAAGAGATGGTTAAGGGGTTAATTACGGCCTATACATACCTGTGTGTAGGGAACAAATATTTGAGCTCTTCAGTCTATCAGAGAAAGATACACAATCCAATGGCTGGAAGCTGAAGCTAGACAAATTCAGTTTGGAAATAAGGTGTAAACTTTTAACAGTGAGAGAGTAATTAACCATTGGAACAATTTACCCAGGGTCCTGCTGGAGTCTTCATCACGGACAAATTTAGAATCAAGGTTGGATGTTTTTCTAAGAGATGCTCTAGTTCAAGAGCAATTTATTTCAGGGAAGTTCTAGGGCCTGTGTTACACAGTGTGTCAGACTAGAGAATCACAATGGTCCCTTTTGGCCAAGGAATCTGAATCTAGCATGTAATAGATGTGTTAACTCTCTTCTGACTGAGCTGTGGGCTGATAAGTTGGATCTTATTTCCTTTCTTCCCTGAGTACTTGACACCAGGAAGACTAGAAATTAATCAGTGGTGGTAGAGTCCACTAGCTGCATGGCTTTGTTTGGGGATGGAACGTCAGGACCGTATCTAAGGAATGATCTCAAAACTCCCTTTGAGTGGACTTGCATGTTGCCGTCCACAGGCACCATGCTGGAAAGCTGCCCGGTAGTATCTGAATGCTGACAGCCCAACTTATTTCAGAAACCTTATTGGGATTTTCACTGTTTAGATCAAAAAGTCCTGTTGTCTCTCTTTTTCCACTGCTCTTTAGAAACCTATGGTGCTGCAAAAGGGCCTGACTAGGTAGGTTAGGTGAAGGGCGGTACCTGGGTAGATCAGAGGTGGATTTGCAAATCTAATAGCACAGCTGGGGAAGGGGGTGTGATCTAAAACACGGAGTAACTTTCCAGGTAAATCTAGTCTCTTCCCCATATCCTTATTTCCACTAGCACGTGTCAAGACCAGTAATTGGGGGGGAGAGGAAGGGAGCTTTTTGTGGGATCCAGTCATGCCCGTTAGTGTGTAACTCTGGATATGCCTCCCTTTCTTGTATCCCCTCGACTTTGTAAATTCAAACACTCGTACATCCTTGTTCTCTTGAGATGCCAGATTAGCAATATTTAAAACAGCAGTCTTCTCGCCACAGAATAGGTCCAGCACAGATGGCAGGAATACAAACATCTCCTTGCTGATGTGCTTCTAAGGACCACTTCTCGTCTCCATGCCCATTCAATCCTTGATTGCCTTGCTGAGGCTGTCAGTCAGTGTCCTGCTAGGAACTGGATACAGGCTTGTGGGGGTAGGTTTCCAATCAAATGATGCAGGCCACTAAACAATGTCTTAGATTAACTGCTTTTGGTTACTACTGACCTGGACTGCTTCATTCTTAGTGTAAGTATTGCATGCTGGTATGCAAGTTTCTGTATTCCAAATAGGATTTGCATACAGGACACTATGACTGTCTCTCTCACGTTGCTAATTACACAAATGAAGACTGGTTGGTTATTACTTTTGAACTCCAAGAAGCCCCTGTTCTAAAGCATCTGGGTGTTTGAATTGGAGCCAATACATCAGCAATCTTATCTGTTTTTTTTTTTTTTTTTTTTCCCCTTCTGCAGGGTATGTCTTCTAGGGGTGCTTGCTCTAATTGTCAGTTGGGGATCCTTGGGTCTGGAGCTGGCTGTTGCAGTGGTAAGTGGCTCTGGTTCAACCTTCCCACACCCTACACTGCAGGTTTATCAGGCATGTGAATAAATGACTCCCAGTGCTTGTCTTTACAGGACTTCTGGTTTTCAGTAGCTGTCCAAGTAAATAACATGTGAAACAGGTTCAGAAACTATACCTCCATAGTGCAGTTTTCTAGCTAGTATCTCAACTCCACTCTGCTGCAAGGCTGGGCAATAGATCTGTAGAAACTGCTTTTGGGGAAGGTTGGTGAGATGGATGACTTCTGGAATATCCCCAAACTTGAGAGCCTCTAATGGAGGATTCCCTGACATAGATATGGCTGAACCTTTGTATGGTGTAGTTGACTTTCCTTTTTCTTCTCTCCAGGGCTCCAGTGACTTCTGCGTTAACCCTGATGCCTACATCTCTAAAGTGGTGGAGGATCATGGAGTGCTCAGTACTGGTAAGTACTAGGGTTGTGACCAGCTCAGATACGCTGCATAGTAGCAGAAGCTGGCACTGAGGGTAATGCTGGTGGACTAGTATCTGAGACTGGTATTAGAAATGGAGATAAAATGCTGGGGAAAGCAGACACAAAGATCTGAAAAGCCAAGACCCTACAGGACACTTCTCTCTCCCTCTCTCCCCCCCCCCCCCCAAAAAAAAAAAAGAATTCTCTCAGACAGAGGCCTATTCAGTGACCTCTCCTTTTTCATCCCACGTCTTAATTCTTTTTAGCTGTGAATGGAAATTCAGATGCGCAGAAAATTTGGGGTTTAGACTTCTGTTGGCTGTTTCTGTACTTCCTAGCATCCAAGTTTTATTTTATCTGTCTATCTGAGATTCTATTTCTTCTGGTTGTGAATGTAAACTGGACCCTCTCATATTCAATTCAGCAGCCAAACGGGCCAAAACAACGTTGCAGAGAGTAGTGTGAATTTCCGTCATCCCCCAGAGTAGTGTTTTACCTTGGACCACTTAAGCACCAGTTTTGTTCACTTTCCAGTGCTGATTGTTATACCAGAATCATTCCAATTTGTGTACTTATCCTGTATTAGGAGCGATTACACTTGTGTGAAAGGATTTACCAGAGATGCCAGGTTGCAAGCTGAAATATGAAAATCGTATTCCTTCAATATTTTGATCATTTAGATAGTTATGCTATCTAGCAAAAGTGATGTTTACATAAAGCGGTGGACTCCTTGCAAGACTTCGTGTGGGTTCTATAAAACACATAGTCCAGCTGGCAGCCTAGTTTTACAAGCTAATGTATTTATACAGCTTTCCTTGTCTTTAATTCTCATCTGCTTTTAAAATATAAGGGTTCAGCCAGGTAAATAGAAAATGTTGCCTTCGACCTTCTCAGCCCTGCCTCCAAATACATTCTGCAGATCTTCCTGAAAACACATGATTAGTCACTGAAATCAAGGTTTTCCTCCCTTGGGGTCATTGCATAAATACCTCCTAGCCATGGGAAGCAAGAGCTCATGCCTCTTTTATTACACTCAGCAGCTGCACACCATGACACCCTCATGACAAAGGGATAATGGAGCACTTTACACAAGCTGTGCTTTAATGGCTTTTGGTTTTGTCACACTCAATCTAGATGGAGGAGCATAGTAAAATGAGTGGTGCCCCCAATTTGAGCCCCAGTAGCTAAAAGTCCACATTGTAAAACTGCTGCTCAAACTGTGATTCAGTAATAGGTAGAGGAACCGATTGCTGTATGAGCCTCTGGAGAGCAGTGGCTGGCTATTCAGTTGGTATGTGATTAGGATAGCAACCTAAAGAACAACTATCTTTAGGGCTGGGTGAGATAATTATCAAAGCAGCATAGGGTAAGGTTAACTATTTTTACACATCTATCTTATGCTCCAAGTCTAGCTCTGTTTTATGGTCCAGCATAATTCTAGGGAGCAATTAGGGTATTGGCCACAAAGGGAGATATTAAAAACAATGCTGCTTTGGTTCTGTGTTATGAAACTTCTTTAAAACGTTTCATAAGTATAAAGCCCCAAATCCCAGCCTTTTGGGTGTGTGTTGCTGCTGTGTGTGTGTCTGATATTAATAGTGTACTGTAAAACTGATAGGGAATTAAAAACATTACTCTTCAGATGGCTGGAGGTTCAGAGATTGGAAACAAGAAATGTTTGTGGAAGGAGGTAAAATTCTCTGTGAAACAGTCTGTTAGTATTCTCACCCTCCGTCTCAATCTTGGTATGCCTTATTGATCAAACAGTCTGGGAAAGGAAGGAAGGGATTCCAGCTCCTTTGTTTATAGAGGTCTTAAGTACAGGAGCCCGGTAATGGCAGTGAACTCATTGCCTTATTTCATTTCTTTGCACAGTGATCCAGGCCTGTGCAAAATGAGAATATCTCTTAATTGACAAGATGACCAAGGCTGACTTTAGATACTAGGCAGCTGCTCTTCATTTTCACTAAAGGTGACAAATGGGTAGACGGGGGAAATCTCTATTCCTGACTGTTCACTGATTCAGCTGTATGCAGTTACAGCATGGGTACAGTAGCAGGAACCAGTTAAATAGCTCATTGATAACAGTGAAGATAACCCTGAAAAACCAAAGGAACTCACGCTCAGGAGGCACCTTGTATGTACTATGTTCCTCCTTCACTTGGCCTTGCCTGGTTGGAGCCCGTTAATTTTCCCAAACAAATTAATTGCTTTGGAGGTAACAGACTCCTGCTGCTGATTGAAGCTGCTGCTTTTCCTCAATAGGGGCAGCAGACCCTTCAATGAAATGGTTATCTTTTCTGCAGGCACAACCAAATATAAGTTTAGCATAGCAGTTCTGAAGGCTCCATCAGGCTAGTAGATGAGTCTAAATGGGACACTGAAGGGAATAACAACCTCATGACAAAGCCTGTAGTTCCAGTTAGCAGTGTGGCCTGTTTTATATTGGGTCATGGGAGGTGATTTAATTTGTTCATGAACTCCCTCTCTCTTTTAAGCAGTGAGTTGGTTTTAATGGCTTAATTCTTGAACATTCCATCACATTGGACTGCATGGGGGAGATGGCTGAACACAAGAGACTAAATTTGAGTGATGCAAGTTGTCTCTTCCTATGAGTTACTGCAACTGCATTTCCTATACCTATTTCAGGGGTGCTAGGCAGATGGCCCTTGTCCTCATTATCAAGTGTGTGATGTGCACTTGAGCCAGAAGGATAATCCTGTAGGGCTCAGGGCTGGGATCTCTGAGGTCCACTCAAGGACCAGCAAGGGTGCATCTAAAAACAGTAATTTAAGGCACACCATCAACTTAAAGCAGGACTCTGCTTATTTTTTCCTCTCGTACTTTTCTTAAAAATAAAAAACAATGCAATGAGGAAGACACTAATCATTGCCTCTAATATCCAGGCAAAGGAGTGCAAATATACATGTATGTATGTCTGCTTTTAACTTCTGTGTTTGTCTTTTGAGAATTTTTGGACTCACTAAATGCCTGCTGCAGGATTATAAGTGTGATATCAGAAATATAACCTATAAAACATTTTTAGTAATGACAGGCATGAAAGACATGTTACATCATAACTGCGCTAATGCATCCATGTGACACCAAACTTTAATGGAAGGTTTAATTCATCTCCCGAAGTTCCATGGAATAGATTCTGACACCTCTAACAGAGTGTAATACTTGGAAATAGAAATCTTTCTTACAGTTTATTCTGAATAGTCAGATATTTTTTTAATGGTGGGGAGACTAGCTAACTACACAAAAGAAGCAGTGAAAACAAAATGTTTGTGCAAAGAACACCAACTAGGAAAAGATTCTCTGTTCTTCCAGGTGGCTTTCTTTGTACTAATCCTTCAACTATAGTCGTGTTCTGCATTACTCCTAACCATGCTAGGTAAATGTTTTCCCAACAGAAAGGTTAAGTTAATAATATCCCTTATTTTGTTTACTTGTCTTCAGTATTTGTACCCTATTTGTTAGTACAAGGAAGAAAGAAACTCTAGGTCCTGGTGGGTTTTATCACCCTTACAGGCATTTGCCCTTGAAACACCGTCTCTTTGGCTGATGTCTGGATGAGGCTCCTTTCCTGGAACTGTCAGTGCCACATCCAAATTAAGCAGTCTTGGTAATGCCAGGTCACCCCCCCCCCTTTTTTTTTTTTTTGTCCTACAGAGGGCTAAGAAGGCTGCCTCCCAGCTCTGCTGGCATGGCAGTCAGTCCAAGGTTTCCCGTGTAGCTGTGTGATCTAGGTTCATTTATTTGATGCAATAACTTGTGTGAAAATTATAGGAGCTTTCTAGGAGAAGGGGACATTTTCCTGGAGAAGCTGGGAAGCAGGACTAAAACTGCTTCTGTTAGTATTTTCATCAGTTTTCAGATCTAAGCAGAACTAATGGCACTGGAAATAATCTGATTAAGCGCATCACTATTGTCACCACTCTTGAGCTAAAGAGAAGACTGTTCATTTACTGCTACAAAAAATGGACCAGAATTCTTAAAACAAATCTCCTAGAAGAGGAGAGAATCTTAATCATTTTGTGTGAGGCAGTGTGTGTCTGGCTTATCTGGTATTCATTAATTGAGAGAGCCAATGGAATTGAACACTGACTAGATAATCACCTCTTTTTGCTAGTTTTAAAAAAACAAACGAAAAGCCATGGTGCAGCCAACATGTTTATTTTCAAAGCAGGAGGCCATCTTCTAGCCTCATTCCCTTTCTCTGATACTGTTACTACCAAATGATTTATTCGATCACATAAATAAAAAGGTGTAATATGTTTAGCCAAAAAGACCTCTCTCCAGATTATCTCTTACTGGCACGCTGCATCTGGAACAGACTAGCTTATCTGAGGGACTGCATTGCTCAAGGAGTGGGTAATGGAGCTTTTCACCTCAAATCCAGTCAAGTTGGGCAGTGTCTGAAAGCTGTGAGTGTTTTTTTTTTTTCTCGCTGTTCAGCAGTCAGTGTGAAGTGAATTTGGCTTTCGTCAGTTACTAGTGGACAGATGTTCATGTTGCAAAACTTACTGTCCTAGATGGCCTCTTATTGACTATCTCAGCACAGAAACCAGACTGAATGAACCCTGGAGATAGTTGCTCCGGGTGAGGGTTGAGGCATGTGGATAGGAGGTGCAGTGTTTTATGCTGCCACTACTGTATGGGGTTCATAGACAGAGTTGAGTCTTCAGTACTATCCATGTGTTGGGTGGTGTGTGTGGTTTTTTTTGTTTTTGTTTTGTTTTTTGCAACACCCCCCCCCCCATACTAAGTTCACCAAGTTTAGAACCCGGGTTCCACTTTGTAGTTTCACTGACTTTCCCTTAAATTAGCAAGTCAAACATCAGTCAATCTGATTGTTAACTTAGTCTTTTCTAACCAAAAGTTTGACTTCTGCTTGCCTTTTTTCTTTTTTTTTTCTTTTTCAGTTGAGTGAGGTTGAAATCTTCTATTGAAAAGCTGTATAGATACCATGCAAAAACTCCCTTTCCTGTCCATCCCTAGTTCTAAGGAAACTCCCACTTACTGTCTGATGTGACAATACCACTTGAGCGGTATGGATACCCTGGGAAGAAAGCTACTTTTCTCCCATTTTAATTATCACTGGGAACTGTGGAAGTTTCAGTGGTAACTAAACAGTATGGAGCCGATGCATCTTCTTCTTACTATGATCTCTTCTGAGCACAGTATGTGAAATGCAGAGAGAGACCAGTCAGGTAAATGTGAGGAATGGCCAAAGAGTTGCAGGTTCATGGCAAGCCAGTTAGGCCACGGTCTGATTCTATTTTTAAAAAATAAAGTGACCTTTGTAAACAGTCGATGCTGCTTGTTCTCTCTCCATCCTAGCATACAGGATTCCCTCTGGTTTTAAGATACATACTCAGAGGCTATACTACAATTCTGCTGGGCTTCAGTGCCATCATGTTATAAAACTATGAACTGTAAGGCTATGTATGCAGAAGTGAGAAGCAGATTCTAGCAGATGAAACTGACTTTGTTGCTGGTAGCCTGTTTCAATTTCCTTTCTAGGGAGGATTTCAAATTGATGTTTCTATCAAATTGTTCCCTTGCCTTATTTTTGCTCTTCATCTTCCTTTTCCCATAGAATGTGGGTCAGGAGGATTGCTGCCAGCAGCAGGCACAAGCAGCTGCAAGTATGACCCTTCTCTTGGAGACCGCTTTAAAGGCCAGTTTCAAAAACCACCTCCAGACTTTAAGGATTGGCCTGTAGGCTTTCAGACTGAAAGGATAAAACTAAACTGACATCTCCTCTGAAGGGGTGAAAAGATGACTTCTGAGAGCTGATGAAGTTGCCATCAATGTGCTTATGGCAGCTGACAGAATTGGAGGGGTATATTCTGGACAGATGTTAAGGGAGAATTCCCCTTGTGTATAAAAACTTTGTCGCCGTTACGCCTTTTGGACCAGAGCAACTAGTCAAACTGGGGATGTTCCAGTTGGGAGTAAAAATTGATGATGGAGTCTGGTGTTTTGGTGTGGTTTTTTTTTTTTTGTTTGTTTGGATGCAGTCTTGGTTGTTTATAAGGAATAGACCAAGTCCTGCTTCTCTGAATGCAGGAGAAACCAAGAACAAAAGGAGCAGTTTCTCAGCTTACATGCTCAAGCTTCTGTCAACCTGTGTGTGCGTGTACATGCTTTCTCTCAGAAAAATATCCAGTGGAATCGTCTGCCCACATGGTGCTAGTTTCTGGGCAGACTTCATTCGCATGGGCAATGCATGCCTCCTGCATTTGGGGAGGCTGGCCCTAGTGCTGGAAGCTCCCCAGGTGTCCAGACCATAGCTCCGTCCCTGCCCCTAGGCCCCCACTGCCTGCCGCCCTCATCCCTCCTCTCCTCCACACCCCTCTTCCCCCCCGAGACCTCTGCTTGTGCTCTCCACCTCTCCCCTGAGCCAAGCGCTCACCCCACCCAACTTGAACAAGTACAAAAACTCAAGGGGGGAACATTTGCTGCCCCCAGGTACCTCTAATTGCCACCTGCTGCTTACCAGTGGGGGAGCCACCATGACCCAGGCATCTGTGCTCTGAAAGGCAGAGAGTCAGCCTCCCCTGGCCCATTCTACCTGCTGCCTATGTTCATTAGCCTTATTTTAGGCCCCTTATCTGACCCTTACAGCAATCTTAAATGAATGGGCGTTCACACCTCAGTTTCAACCTACAACACGGTTGAACCTAGCTGAGCACCAACAGGGGTAGTTTAGTCACCTTCCACATCAACCACCCATGTGCTAACCCATCTCCAGCATAAGGGGTTGCTTGGTGGGGGTGTAGTGGGGGGCTAAGAAGGGTGTGTGGCAGGAGCAGAGCACTTTAATATCTGTCCTTGGCTAGTGTGGGGTGATTTAGGGATTTTATGCAAGAGTCATAGTTTAGAGAAGGTGCTCAGACTTGCACTGGGAGCTGCAACTGACTTCTCGGCAGGCTTCCCTGCAGCAGAGCTGTGCTCAGTGCAGTAAAAGAATCTACTCCTTCAATGTTTGCCAGACAAATGACTGGCTGTTTAGAAATCTCTCATAAAAAGGGTAAGTCAATAGATTCTAATGCCTTACTACTAAAACAAGAGCTAGTAGGTAGGATGCCACAATCCAGAGAATGGGGTGGATGGGGAAGAGATTCATTTCTGAGCAGAGCACTAGTAACCACATGAACTGAAGCCAATCAACTTTGATGCCATGCCCACAGTGTCCAAAATATGACCAGGAAGCTTTTGGACTGTTGGCCAGGTGAAGCTTCTTGGGCTTGGTGGGGAGGGTCCTGTGCAACTTGGTGCTGTTCCATCTTGCAGTCACTGTGCTGTTTTTTCCGACTTCGGGGTACTATGGACTATGTATGATATTCTTGCTCTGGGAAGGTCTGTTTGCTAATGTAGTCCTGGAATAAGCAATCCCTTCTGATTCAAAGTGTGCGCACAGTCCACTCGTGGTATGATCCATTCAGTAGTGCACACTATCCTATTATTTGCCCAGTTTTTGCCAATTGCTGTTTAATGGCTCTGCTGAGTTGTAGATAAGTCGTCCCAGAGCAAAATTCAGTGGGGAGAGATGGAGCAGCTGGTGGAAGCAGTCCCAAAGTAGGCTAATGAATTATAAATAACAGCTGTCAGGTTCCATTGCCAGCATGCAGGAGCTGACAAGTTGTGTTGTATCGCTCAGTCCCAGTGTGTATACAGGCACAATGAAAGGTGCATGCAATATTGATGGTAAGTGCGGCAGGAGCAGGCCTGCTCTCCTTACTTGTTGGCTCCCTCACGTGGCTTTTACTTTCTCTGTTCTTTCTTTTGAGCCCCACAGTGAGGAGTAGTTGGAAAAGTCACTTCTCTCTCAATGGATCTTCATAGTGTGTAGGAAAAAGATCAATCTGCAGAATGCCCCGATTATTATTTTTGTGTGCGGGAGGGAGGCGTCGTCTGTTTTATGCATGGCAATTCTAAACTGACTTCTCTTCTGGGAAGAGGCAAGAGAGGTTGGCAGAATGAATGCTGGAGAGGAACTGAAATCTGCAAACGGGTTAAAAATGAGTCTGAAGGGATGGGAGTTGTGGAAAGATAAATGGTTACTTACAAAAATCCCCTCTGGCCTCATCAAGGATGGCTTAATGGAGTCTGGGATGTGTAACTTGCATGTGCTAATTTTTTCATTCCCTCAAACTGGTAAGCCCTTGTAGAGGTCTAGGTGGGCATCAGGTGTAGTCCTGATCCTTCTTTTTCAGGTACATTTCTATGCATTTGACAGGCTGACCTGTCAGTGTATAGGGCTAAATGTATTTTGCAGCTGGTGGTGGCCACTGTACTGGGGTTAGCTGGCAGGGAATGACTTTTAGAGGCTGAGTTTAGCACAGGGCAAGTTTCAGTGTTGTTTGGGGTGCTATGAGGAAGTCTGATATTGCCTTGTTCACAAGAACCACCTCTAGTTCCAGTACCCTGGTATGCTCGACTGCAGGAGGAGCTTTCCTGTGGGTTAAACCTGCAGTGGACTCTGGCTGTGTGCAGAAAACACCTTTCTGAGCAAGCAAGGAGAAAGGTGTGAAAGAAACAATGCATGTTAAAAGCTGTGTTTTAATGCAGTCTGCATATACTGGTAGAGGAGAGTATGATTCATCTCTAATTTATGCTAGAAGTCTTCCATTCAGCAGCTCCATCTCCATTTCTTCCTTAGGTGCGTTCCAGGCTGTCTCTCTTTCTCCCCCCCCCCCCTCCCCAAGAGTACTGTTTAAAAACCAGCTGCTCCTTCAAGTGAGGCAGGGTAAATCCATGTTGCAAAGATGTCTCCTTCCTTCTTCTCATGTTAAAATATATATTCAGGTAGCTCTGCTTACAGCAGATGTGTAGCATAAGCACCGGTGTGCGCACACTCTTCCATGTCCGTGTAATTCTCTCTCTCAATGTAGGATCATAGAAATCAAATCTCAGACTCCAGCCCAGTGTGCTGTCTGAGTGCCACTGAGTATGGTAGCTGATTTGATTCTGCACAGCATTGGTGGTTCTGTTCTCATGACTCACTTTCCTGCATAGGTGGGAAAGTCTCTCACCATTTATTGGAAAAAAAATGCAACAGGGTCAGCTTTAGTAAGGTTTTCCTTTCTTGCAGAATGTAGCCAACTTCCCTTCTTCAGTGTCTTCCATGCTGCATAACACCACAGAGGAAGGAAGAAAGTGGGTCCGCTCACACTTTGCCTCTCACACAGCATATCGCTACTAATGCTCTTAGAATTAAATCTTCCCTTGCAGCAAGCATAAGAACGCTCAAAGTGGGGGGAAAATAAATATAGCCTGATTTCTATTATTTGTCTTTGTCTTGATAGATACTCTACGCTATTATCTTGCCTGTAATGCTGGATATCCAAACCCCTTTCAGCAGGTGAGTATCTCAGCTCACACCCTTCTGTTGCCGCAAGCTGCATTTCAGTGGGGCTGGATTTAAAAAGATAAATCGGTCCTAGACGGGGTTACGAGATTGTTAGCTTGGTCTAAACATCAGGGCTTTTCCCATCTGAGTCACCCCCTTCTTTGGTAACAGGAAAGGACTTTCAGATCTAATGGTGGTTCTAGCTTGTGGCCTGTAGTTGTGCCATCTCTGGCTGTGATCTCCAAAGGGAAGCAAGGTTGGATTTGGACAGTACTTGACTGGGAACCCTTCCAGGGGCTATGAGATGTGGTACTGCTGCAATAAGAGGCTCATGTTTCTTAAGTCAGGTGCACGCAGTATTGTTGGAGATGCTGCTGCTGCTCAGATGAGATGTGGTCAGGACCAGAGTTTTACTTTTTGCTTATGTGGCACATTTTTCCTAAGAGCAGAGATGTTAATCTTGCTGGTAGATAAAATGCAGTTTCAGTAACTATGTTCTGCCTGCCCAAAATCTCCTTAAAATGTGGCATCATGCCATCAGGTACGCTTTTGGGCATGCTGCTGAGGAGTGTGAACTTGGCTTGTGCATTTTAGTGGGGTGTTAATACTTACTTTTACATTTTTGTTCATTATTTCACTGCTGATAATTTTGTACAGGAAAAATCCAGCTGCTATGTGTGGGAGGAGCTTGGGATTGTAGGTGGAGCTTGAGTGAAATTACTTCCTTGCCCACTAATCTGACCCTGTCTGTATTTCTATGTATATTTGAGGAGACTAGAAAAAGTACAGACTAGAAAGCTGATTCCATCCTGTGCTTTTAGAGCTGAAGTGGGTTATGTGGAGTGTCATTACAGCTGTGAGATGCTGCTAGTTTACCCTGGATTATCGGTCACGTAGATGATATCTCTGTACTTGGCAATGGCAGTTCCTAAATTCCTCTGTTGCGCATAGCCTGGCTTGCCCCTCAAGACTGACCATGTTCATGTTCATTTTGAATAGAAGCTATCAGGAAGTCACAAAGCCCTGGTGGAAATGCAGGATGATGTGTTGGAGCTGCTCAGGTCAGCCATCAGAGAGTACCCCACCTCCAAGGTAAAACGTCTTGAACTTACCTTCTGAAAGCACTGGACGAGTAAAGGATGTGTCCCCTCAACATGAGGCCCTAAATAAGCTCTTGCAAAGCCCTTTTGTTCTATTAATCTCTAGCTTGTTGCTTACAGGAGTACCTTACTCGGATACAGGAGGTTCTAAACTCCACCGAGATCAATTTGCAGCACCTGACTGCACTGGTAGACTGTCGTAGTCTTCATTTGGTGAGTATGGAAAATCAGTGTCTGGAGCTGACAAATATTCACTTTCTGTGCAGATACAGAGCCCCAGAGTGCTGAGCTCTTTGAGGGTCAGAGTACAAAGCTCTCTGGAGCATCAAAATACAGTAGATACTTTTTGTCTGGCTTTGCTGCTCCACTTCCAGAGAGGGCAGAGAACCTGTTTTGGGGTGATTTTTTTTTTTTAAATATAATATGGCAGATTAGTGTAGGGAATTAGTTGGTGAACTTTTGTGCTTCTACAAATTGCATCACTGAGGCTTCATGGACCTTAACTCTAAGCTTGATACAGTTCTGGGTCCAGTGCCTTTCACATGTATAGCGCTTTATAGCGGTGGAGCAAGATCCCCATGTTGGTGAGTGAATTGCTGCTGTGCCAAGATGTACAGTTAAATTTATAGTCCAGATCTAGCTGTGCACATGTGTAGTGGGGCACTGGGTGGAAGAGCTGCAGAATTGGAAATTGTGAGCTGCTGATTTCATGAGTAATAGTGAAACTATGGAACAGGCAGACTTATCTTGATCTTCGTTTTTTGTATGTATGGCTGAGAATACAATGTACATCTGTTCCTGAATTGAGCCCTGCATAAAAACAAGGGGGTTTGTTAGCTTTTAAAAACAAGCCCTGAGTCGAATGAAACCAAGCAAAGTACATTGTGGAAAATGGCTCCGTTTTTAAGTGGTGAGCTAGAATCCAGGTGATGGGATTTTTGGAATATGGAAATTGCAGTGTTACTTTTTGTGGTGAACCAAGAGGCTCTGCTTAATTTCTCCCTTTAGGATTACGTCCAGGCTCTGACAGGCTTCTGCTATGATGGAGTGGAAGGGCTCATTTACCTGGTTCTCTTCTCCTTTGTCACGGCTCTTATGTTCAGTTCCATTGTGTGCAGCGTCCCACACACTTGGCAGCAAAAAAGGTATGCAGTGGGATTAGATACAGTCAGCTCACACTGTTGGGTTATAGAGCTGTCTCCTAATGAAAGCTGGCAACTGGACTTATGCCCGTCAGCATGTAGAACTCCTTACCACGTGTGCTCCAAGAGCATGAGGGATAAGATGTTATGAAATGTTGGCCCAAAGGGAGGAGGGTGTTAGCCTTAACTTGGTCAGTTTAAATCAGAACCTTATTACTATGGAACTCTGTATAAAGGCATCATAGAGAGTTTTGATGGTGTGCAGAGTGAGACGATTAGTCTTTAGTTGGAGATGAATGGTATAGCTCTAGGGTGGCAGAGGACAGCAATACTTGAACTGTACAATACCTATTGTCTGTCAATGCATCGTTTACTGGGAGGTGGGAGGGGTGTTTTCCTAGTATTGGGAGAGACCTGAAGTGGTGAGGATCAGGTCCTGCTTGCCTTACTCCTTCAATTATATTGAAGTCAATGGGACTTAACTGCATGACTAATGTGAGCAGGATATGGCCCCAGCAGTAATGAGAGATGACCAAATAGAAAGTACATCTATTATTTTGTGGCACTGAAGGAATCAGAGACCTGTTGCTATTTCTAATGGATATGTAGTGGTAGTAACTGAAGGTGAGATGCACAGTCAACCTGTGGAACTCTTTGCCAGAGGATGTTGTGAAGGCCAAGACTATAACAGGGTTCAAAAAAGAACTAGATAAATTCATGGAGGATGGGTCTATCAATGGCTGTTAGCCAGGGATGGGGCAAAAATTGGGGATTGGTCCTGCTTTGAGCAGGGGGTTGGACTAGATGACCTCCTGAAGTCCTTTCCAACCCTGATATTCTATGATTCTATGAGAAGCTGGGAATGGTCGACTGGATGGATCATTTGATTACCTGTTCTGTTCATTCTCTGGGGCACCTGACGTTGACCACCATCGGAAGACAGGATACTGGGCTAGATGGCCCTTTGGTCTGACCCAGTATGGCCAGTCTTATGTTCCTATGAGACTAGGATTTATTGGTCCATCTGTCACCGGGCCAGTTATCGCATTGGTTGCTGTATACCGTGTTGCACTGGCTTTCATTTGTTTGAAAAGTACCCTGTGGTGTTTAACAAACGTTCATGTTCTCAATATGATTTGGGTGATTTTAAGAGTGTCCTAGGCTCAGTGTACAGAACTGGAGGCATTCAAATGCAACAGGAAGACTTCCTGGGATGGTGAGGGCTGCCCTTCCTGCGTGCAAAAAAAAATAAAGGTACTTGGAAATATATCAGTGTCTCCCAGAAAACAATTGGAGGTCTTGATGCTCTTTCCATGAGCAGCAGCAAACAGCAGGTCTACATATCAAGCTGGGACCTGTACTCTCTGCACCCAGTTCAGGGAGTGGCTTCTCTTAGGGATAAAATTCAGTGTCTGCCTCCTTTAGTAAAACTTTACTGTCACCTTGTGGTACTGACACTAAGGGCAACTGACAAGACATGCGATAACTGGTCTTCTAATCATAGACGTTGGAGACATCATCCGGTTTTGTTCAGCTCCCTGCCAGTGTGGAATGTTTCCTATCAGAAATTGACTTGTTCAGTGTACTATCCAATATCCCTATACTGAGAATATCATGAAGGGGAATGAGAGGGGCAGGAATTAGGTTAATTTGCACAACAGTGATGCAGTATTGCAATGGCCCAAAAATGTCCATGCCACCCTAGTCAAGTGATGGGCAATGATACCTGTATCTGCCCTTCCAAACTGAAGGGGAGGTGTAGGCTGTACAGGAGTCCACGCTGACTTGCAATCTGTTCAGGCTTGCCAGTGTTAACATAATGCGTTCAGCTGGTGGGAAATGTGGTGTCTGGATTTGAGACTGCCGAGTGCTTTTCTTTTCACACTTTTTTCCCCCCTAAAAACAATCCTAGATTGTCGATTATAATCAACAAAATCTCAAGTTGTCTCTAGCAGTGTGGTTTGATTTCTGTAAATATTTAGAACAATATTTTAAGGATTGAGATCTACATTCCAGGCATATGGGGGTTTTGGTGTCAGTCTCTTCAGACTTATAAACCGGCTCTGTTGCTGTCACCTGCTTAGTCCAGAATTACATGCCTCGGTTTGAGGAGTAACCGAGTGTTCACCTATGCCTCTGAAAAACACAGTGTTCTGAAACCAACTTCAGTGGCCTAACAATAATGAGCTATACTGTGTGGCTCAGAATCTGAGATTCATGCATCTGTAAAATGAGGAGAATGGTACTGACCTTTCTTGTAAAGCACGTTGAAATCTGATGAAAAGTGCTGTGTAAGAAATAGATATTATCATTTCATGACCTCCTCACAGGAGGCGCATGCTGTCTGCTCCTGATTTGGATAGGGGTGGGACTACATGTCAAGGAGGGGAGAGGAATCAAGTTGCCTAAGGAATACTGCACCAGGGAAAAACAAGGTATGTTTGGGTTCAGACAGCTTAGAGGAGAAGGCAGCAGATGTGGTTTCTTTGGAATCCTAGAACAGCCAGTAGAGACTAGTTCTGAAGGTGGAATATCATACAAGATTTACTAGTCTTTTTTTTTTTTTCCTTGCGTATTCTGCTTGACCACCAGCTGGCCTTCAGCTGAAGGTTTCCTGTTTAGCAGTGCTCGGAGAAGTGATTTGTTTCTCATTGATTGCATATTAAATGTGTCCTGATAACAAACTTTTCTCTCAACTGCAAACTCAATCTGGGTTCTGATTGGTTGGTGGTTTTTAGTCATTGTTTTGAGGAGTTTTTTCATATGCATCATTGCTAATTTTGAAAGTTCTGCAGGGCAAACTCTTCCGTCTGTGCAAACCCACTGAAAACAGAGATTGGAACAGAGTGTTCCAGTTACTAGACAATTTTGTTATCCAGGAAGGAATAAAATTCAGATGCCCCTCTTGTAGCTGGCGGGCTCTGCAGGGCTTAAGAGTAAAAATAGCAAAAATACATCTGCAGATTTTAACAAATATATAACTGTTGCACACAAAGGGGAGATCAGTTGAATAAAGTGGTACCATTGTTACATAGAGTTTGATGTACGGTTCTCCTTTGAAAAAGAACTAACTCAGTTCATAAAGTTAGTTTCTCATAAAATCAATCCTTCCATTCCTACAAAGTGTAGGATGAGACTTACCTTTTATAACCTCGAAGGTATAGGTATAAACATTGACCTCAAGAGAACAATAGTCCAGATAAATCTGATTTTGATGTATGTTTAAAGTAGCAAGGGCTCTGGTCTTTAGGAAAGGAAGGAATAGCCTAGGCAAAAATGCCTCAATCCCACAGTAGCTAAGCCCTACTGCACTGGCTTCCAAAAGTTTTTTTTCATACACTGAAGTAGAATGGGACCTTTTTTGTGGCCACTCTGAATGGAGTTCTTGTTGTCTTCAGTGGGAGTTCATGGTATAGAGCTGCAGAATCAACTTCCTTATCTTATGGTATGTCACATGGAAGACCTCTGGAAATCAGTTCAAGAAATAGAAGTACGCGGCAAAGTTCAACTTCAGTATGGTGTATGAGGGAGACCAGGTATAAGGTTCTTTCTGCAAGCAGTGCCCCATTTAAACAAGCGCCAAGTGTTCTTGGGTGTGTCCACACTCCAGTTTATATGGTTGGGGGAGCTGTGGCATTGTGTTGACTGCCAAGCCCTGTGGGAAAGACTTCGGGATGATATGGAAAACATTGCAGTCTGAGAAAGTCCAGATGGCGTTTGTGGGAGGCCTGAATCACTCTGTTGGTTGGGGAGGAGAAGTTTGCTCGGGTCTGTATCTATGCTACCATATTGAGGCACACGCTGACTGGCTGTTGGGTGGGGGGATGTGTGGAGGAGGATTAGAAGGTTATTGGGATTACCATGTGCTCTGGTGTCTTGCAGGCCCCACTAACATAGCAATTCTAGGCTATTAGGATAAACTTTCTTTCCTGCAGGAGCTCGGATGATGATGGGGAGGAGGAATCTGCAGCTCAGGGGAACAGACAAACCCACGATAATCTGTACAGGGTGCACATGCCCAGCCTCTATAGCTGTGGGAGTAGCTATGGCAGTGAGACCAGCATTCCAGCAGCAGCACACACAGTCAGCAATGCTCCTGTCACGGAGTACATGTGAGTAGCGAGGAGAGGAGCCATGTTGTAGCTATCTCTGTCCAAAATGCTTTGCTGTACTTTAGTTGCAGGTGTCCATTGCACAGCCTAGCTAAAGAACTTTCTGCAGCAGCTGCACTGGGAAATGAACAAGCTCACTAACAGCAGTGTGATAAGCCTGAGAGGAAGAGTGATAAAAGGTTCTGTTTATATCGTTTGATCTTAGTGACCTTTTTACTTGCAGCATTGGCAAGTGTTTCTGTTCTCTAACGGAAATAACAACACGAGGTATCAAGTATCAGAGGGGTAGCCGTGTTAGTCTGGATCTGTAAAAGCGGCAAAGAGTCCTGTGGCACCTTATAGACTAACAGACATATTGGAGCATAAGCTTTCATGGGTGAATACTCACTCCGTCGGATGCATGTCACAAGGTAGATGACTAGAAAATATCGAATTGCCTTGTGTTTGAGGATTTACAGTGTTGCCTATGGAAGGGGTGGAGTTAAGTGTCACCAGTTTCTATGATGAGTCTTTTTTTCCTTAAGGACTATTCAAAAGTAACTGCTTTGCAAGAGAAGTTTTAAACCTCCCAAGTGGTGGAGATCCACATCACAGCAGCTTTAGACTGTCCTCCCTAGGCAGTTGAGGTCAAAGGTCTTTGCTTTCCAGATCCATCTAGTTGAGACAGGGCAGTCTGAGTTTAGTTAATCCTTCTACAGAGCTCCTGCCCTGGGAGTGGCTGGCTGGCTGGCTGCAACGCCTGTCTGTGTTGGACTGGTTCATCTATTTCGTTCTCCCACGTTTATTGTGGCTGTTAACTTTTGGGCAGGGAGGCTGGATTCGTTTAGCTCTACATTTTAAAAAATAAAAATAAAAAAAGCACCACAGATACTGAGATGGGTACTTCATAAATGGAATATGAGAGTGTACTCTGAGATAGAAAGGCACCCATGTTAGCGTCCAATTGATCAAAGTGGAAGTGAGCCATTTGGCATGTAGGGAAAGCATTCCAGGGAATTGAATTGTGATGCTTCCAGAGAGTGTCCGTTGGGAGGTAATAGTGCCCTGCATTGGGGTTATCCTGTGTCCGTTCCAAAGTGTCTATGCTGGAGAATGTGCTATGTGTCCCTCTATCACCATGTATATTTCCCTTTCATAGGAGCCAGAATGCAAACTTCCAGAACCCCCGCTGTGAGAACACGCCTCTGATTGGCCGGGAGTCTCCACCTCCCTCAGTAAGTGTCTTTACTGCTTCTCTCTGCTTCAACATCTGAGGCCAAGTTCTACTTTGGGGCTATGCACATGCCACTCCTATGTACTTCAGGGGGAGCTGATCGTGCAGCTCAAGGCAGAAGATCTGGTCCATAAATCATGAAAAACTTAACAGACAAGGCCATGTCTAAGCTGCTATTGAGAATAAAAGCCCAGTATGCTACTTGGGCATGGTATGTATGAAAAAGATCAAATTAAATAAAACCTAATAACGCTCTGGGCTCATCCTGCCACCACTGAAGCTTGTGAGTAACTTTGTGTGACTTCGGTGAGTGGGTCTCTCTCGCACACAGTTACTAACTAGTTGTGGGTTTGGTCCTTTAAATTTGCAAAATAAACTGCTGAACCAGTAAACCCAAAGGTAATGCGGAATCTCTCCTTAACTTGCACTGTGAAAACAAGAGGATGAAGTTTGCATTTTTGAAGGGTTTTATTTTCATTTCACAACTTTTGAATTCTTATTTTTGTATCTAATTTCCTAAGGAGAAAAAAATCTTTCATGGAAGGTTCTTTGGTAATCAAGAGCTTGAAGTGGCCTCAGAGCCATGTTAGTCTATTGAGTAAAATATGGATTTTTATTTATATATTAAAAAAAAATTAGATGAGTGTTCCACTCTCTCTCCAGATGCTGTAATCTCATTACTGCAATACCACCTTTTGGCATGGGCCATCAGAATACTAACTAACAAACCTGCTAACAGTTCCTGAGGATGCAGCATAGTATACTTAACAGGCCATCCGTTATAATTAATGAAAGCCCACACCATAGGGGCTAAGCCCAGTTCACTGAGTGGGGCCTTCATAGAACAAAAGACTCTCTCTTCTAAATTTAGAAGAGGCAAAAGTGGCAAACAGGAAGGCCAGGACTTGTTTTTATACTTCTCATAGACTGGCCAAACTTCTTGAAGCTTGCTTAGAGTGGAAAAAAAAACTTGTTCCAGGTCCCTGACATTCAGCACTTGAGCTTAAACAGCATTATCTGCTCTTGGCAATGGAGCTGGCTCCAGAGAAAGGTCAGCCACAGCTTTCAGTGCGGTGTCCTAAACTGCTGCTGTACTGCTGGAATTCTCTGTTACAGCAAATGCACTGTCCCTTTAACACTGCACAGTCCTGTTCATCCTATTCCTCTGAGGCAAGGTCTTGCCACGCAGCATTTCCCACCCTGTAGCTCTTCTGCCTCAGAAAAAGGAGGCTTCTTTCTGCAGGAGCTCTAACCATGAGGAGAGGATTCCCTGGTTCTTCAGTAGCTGGTTGCATTAATGGCCCTGAATGTGGAGCTAAATCTTGGTACTTCCAGCTGCTTCTGAGGAGAGATGCTGGTAAGGGTTTTTTCAAAGGAATTTCACTTGGGGCAGCCAGAGAGAAGGGCTATGGGAGGTGGTGGGGGAAGCCATTATGTCTAAGTGTGGGAGGTGAGATGGAGAGTGTATCCCAGCTTCCCTGCCTGGACCACAAGGAGGAACCCAAGCAGAGGAGGAAATGGGATTTCTGAAGGAGAATGTACATCCCAGATAGTGGAAGGGACTGTCTGAGCGTGCTCACACACCACTTGGGTAGGGGAAAGGGAATGGATCCCTTTGTGCTCCCCACCTAGGCAGGCAGTGGGGTAGAGCGGATCCTCCAGAGTGTTCGTAGGCAGGTCTCTGTATTAACCAATTGAGGCTATTCCAGGAGCAGAAGAAAAGGCTGAGCCCATTTAATCAGCAAACGATTCCTGCTGTTTGGGCGTGCACAGAAAAAATATCTGTGTTCATGCTCCCGTGTTTGGGTGGTCAGATCCGCAAAAAGGAGCCACAGAAGCAGAGTAAAGAGACAGTGCGTGGCCAGGACTGAAGTATCCTGCTCCGCTTTGGTTGTGGGAACAGATTATAAAAACCAAGACAGAATGATCCTAGAAGAGCTAATCACCTACTGCGTTGTTTGTCTATTCTTTTTTCCCCCCAGTCGTTCCTTTCATCGTTCTCCTCCTTCTTGTCCAAGGGCTATTCCTGTAGGGTGGTAGAGCCCTCCTGATCACTGGCACACACCACAGCGTGTCACTTGCTTGCACTGTGTTTTTCATGCACGTTGAGGCTGCACTCTCTTTTTCTCTCTCTCTCCTGCATCATCACAGTTGTATTTGGCTGCCATGGACAGTAGCAGCCATATGAGCTGGCAGTTTAAGCCCTCGGACAGTGCACGGACGTACTGGTAACCACGCCCGCAAATGGAACAGGTACTGAAATAAGGTCCTTCTCGCTGAACCCCTCCTCCACTCCCACCCGCCCCTCCATCCCTGCACTGTTTACCCCAGGCCAGTGCCTTATTTCTTCACATTCCTTCCCCCTGCACCTCTCCGCATTCCCTCCTGCCAAGGGTTGAAGCTAACCAGGGTTGCTCTGGTGCCGACTGAAGGAGCAATATCAACATTTCACGATGGCAAGGCTTCTTGTATGCATTCTGACAGCCAGAGACCCACACCTCAGAGCGGAGCCAAAGTCACTGCTGCTTTAGTCCACAGATTCCAAGTTGAAGAACAGTATCTACACCTTGCACCAGAGAGTGCACCAAACCAAAAGTGTTCCACACTCAAAGCACAAGGTAGAATTACTCCCATCTTGGGTATCCACTTGGTAACAATAATGTGGATCAACGTAGCTGTCCTTTAATAAGGACTTGCTGTCTGTTACCACCTCTGGCTTCCCTTGAACCTTTTATCACTACTCCTTTGCTCACTGATACAATGGCATGTGCTAGAAACCAGAGATTTTTCTGCCACTTTCATTAAGTTCTGCCATAGAATCTTAAAACCAAACAATTCCTCCTGCACCTTGCTTGTTAGAACCAGCAGCTGTACTGCAAGCTCACATATGTAGCTTTCCATTTTATCATTGCATTCAGGGCTATAAGTAAGCGACTTTCCCCTGATGGCCAGGCACAAGCACTAAAATTCTTGATTCTGCCTAGTTTTATTTCAACACTTCCGTATGCCAAAAGCATTCCGTCAATTTCCTGCATACGCTGTGGATGGCGTGCCAGTGAGTCCTTTCCTTGCACTGCTTTATTGTCAGAGTAATATGCTGTTACAACCAGTCTCCAGGATAGCCCTTATTCCTTCCCTACCCATAGTGGTCGGCAACCAGAACTAGTTACAGTAGGAATGAATAAGTGGTTGGTACCAGGTCTCGTAGTTATACCTCATGAACTGTGTGACTTGGTCGAGTTGAGGAGTATGTTGTGTAATCTGAATTCCTGAGCAACTCACTGTAACTGGATAAAGTACGTTGTGATCAGTCCAAAGAAAACTAATCACTACTGAAACAAAGTGGAAATGTTAGCACCGTTTGGAATGCAGGATTCTTTCCAATCGGGTTAGTATGGTCCACAATCCACAGTTTGCATCCTGTCCCCAGACGTACTTGTACATAAAGCTGATGCTCCTCTTCCACATCCACCATTCCTGCTGGGACTTCTCTGCTGTCACCTCACGCTAGATACCATTGTCTCATGTCACTGCTTGGTCTGCTGCCTTGCCATTTGTCTGCTCTGCTTTGTGACGTGCTTGGGGATTTATAAGATGCTGGCTGAATTGGTGGGGGGAAATATAGTTGTGCCTTGGTGCACTCTGTGACAGTGTGTGAATGGAAATCTACGTGAACATTTAATGCATGATGCTAGTGCTCTCCAGAATGTCACAGCCTTCTCCACTCTTGTAGCACTCTTGCAAAGACCTTCCTTGGGCATCTACGCTTGGTGCTTTCCTGCTTCCTTATTCCTGCAGGTATTCTAGTGGCCCTCTTAGCAACGTTGTGTTTAAGGGTCTATCAACACTATTTACTGTGAACTTTTGTTTTACAGGGATTTGACTCGGGACTTAAAATATTCTCTGGACTGAAACTTGACAAAGTCTCAGCCTAGAATCTTTTCTGTGTACCAAGGTCAGGCCAAGAGTCATATGTGGCTTTGCAAAAATAAAAGGTTCTTGCACTCTCCCCAAGATCTCGAAAATTGTGCTCATCTTAAGCCGCGCTTCTAACTATAGTTCTCTTTAAAAACTAGAATTCTGCGATTTCAGGATCCGCTGGCTGGCCCTATCTCCCTGCACTGAAAAAAGGCAGTTGATACGTTTTTTTGTTTTTGTTCTTTTATTGCGCCCAAAATTGTCTAAGATACTTGGGTCAAACATTAAAATAAATAAAATTCAAGCCTTGAAGCTTCAATTTGCAGCTGATTTAAACCAGGATAACCCATGAGGTTTTAGCATTTAGCATGTTAAGCATTTTTGCCATACAGAAGTACTGTATTCCTCCGCTGCCTCCAGGGATTATATTGGATGGGAGTGGTGCATATACGTGGTACAGTCTTGCAGTGTAGTGTGTAATAGCTGTGAAGTACTGGTGATCTGCAAAGACCACAAGGTTTATCTGGTTTACGTTCAGATACGGCCTCTTAAAGTCAGATAACTCTGTGCACCTCAGTTTTTTGTAGCCAAGAATTTTTGTGCCTGCGAAGTGTATTTGTTAGGCACCTACTCAGCCAATGTGTGCTGAGAGAGCGTTTCTGAATGTGTTTTGCCCATAATGTGGGGGGCAGGGGGAGTCTGATTCATTAGGGAGTAGGGTGGGGGAGTACACTTTTTTTGCAGAAATGCTGAAACACAAATGTACACCGTACCATAGCAGTTCTCGTTGACTGATGGTAAGTGGTTGGTGATGTGTGTCAAAGTACAAGATACCAGGACAAAATATCCATCTACTGGGTAGTTCATGATGGCGCAATAGGGTAGCTAACAAAATTATGAAAATACATGTTAAAACTTGTATTGAATCATAGAATCATAGAATATAAGGGTTGGAAGGGACCCCAGAAGGTCATCTAGTCCAACCCCCTGCTCAAAGCAGGACCAATTCCCAGTTAAATCATCCCAGCCAGGGCTTTGTCAAGCCTGACCTTAAAAACCTCTAAGGAAGGAGATTCTACCACCTCCCTAGGTAACGCATTCCAGTGTTTCACCACCCTCATAGTGAAAAAGTTTTTCCTAATATCCAATCTAAACCTCCCCCACTGTAACTTGAGACCATTACTCCTCGTTCTGTCATCTGATACCATTGAGAACAGTCTAGAGCCATCCTCTTTGGAACCCCCTTTCAGGTAGTTGAAAACAGCTATCAAATCCCCCCTCATTCTTCTCTTCTGCAGGCTAAACAATCCCAGCTCCCTCAGCCTCTCCTCATAACTCATATGTTCCAGACCCCTAATCATTTTTGTTGCCCTTCGCTGGACTCTCTCCAATTTATCCACATCCTTCTTGAAGTGTGGGGCCCAAAACTGGACACAGTACTCCAGATGAGGCCTCACCAATGTCGAATAGAGGGGAACGATCACGTCCCTCGATCTGCTCGCTATGCCCCTACTTATACTTATTGCTTATGTGGCTTTAAAAAGAATAAATGTAGATATATAGGCACCTGGAGAGTCCTAGCCAGAATGCTGGAAGGATCCATAATACATGATTTTATAACCTTTAATGAAAGCTGGGGGTTTTTTGTGATTTGTTTTGTTTAAGGAAATTAAATACAACAATCTACCTTGAAATAACGTTAAGGTTGTGTCACAGACAGGCAATATCCAGCCAACACTGACTTGAGGATGGTACTTTGTCTTTGACTTAGCTGTGAACAGTCTCTTTGTTTTTTGTTTTCCCAAATGTCTGTCCACACTTAGTGGCTTTCTACACAGTTAGCTGTTTAGTCACTTTAATGGTTACAGGTAACACCATTCAGGTAGTGTCCCTCTGGCAGTTTTCCTGACATCACCGACGGGGCACCTGTATCTACAAGCCCACCTTGATGTTAGCATCTCTCTGAGCTCTTCCCTGTGCTCCCTTGGAAGTGCAATGCAGGAGTAATACCTCAGAGTGGTGTCTGTAGCATGTGGGGTAATGCACTCTCAGGACCAGCCAATTCTGTTGTTAGGGGTTCTGTAAGCACTTCCAAAACAATGAGATGAGCTGCTTACAAGAAGACATTCATGTGTCTGTCTGACTCCAGAAGAGCAAAACAGTGTTAGCTGCCTTACTACCAAGTTCTAACTATGTTGTATGTGGATGTACAACCCTATTTCGAGCTAACCTTGCCAGTAACTGGTTACGAAATTGGTTAAAAATTGTAATGTGGACACAACCTAAGACGCAATATGCATGAACTGAGAACATCAGCCTTAACTCTGACTTCCATGGCTTTTGTCAGCTTGAGACATTTTATGGCGGTTTAAGGTAGGATAGAATTTAAAACAATACCTTCTGTTTCACTTTCTATCCAATTTTCTCTTTAGTTTGAATTATTGTTCTCTTTCTTGGTGCTCTTCAGACTTCTGTATTGTGAAAAAATGGGAGCAATGGTCCAATATCTTCTTGGCCTCTGCATGCCACTGGGTGTATCTGGTACATCCTTTAATGCACCCCACTGGATTGCTGTTCTTTTGATTGAACAGTTCTTCTATAGATGGCGGCTGCAGGTCTACGTGTATTATCTCTCTAGGAAGGGATGTGAAAAATGTGTTCCTAGATTCTTTATCTAAACACTCCCTTTATCTAAACACTGCCTTTAAGAACCTTGGTGGATTGAATTCATGCAGTCATCCACTTCTCTTCTAACGCCCTGCTTCTCATCCACCCACCCAACACAGATGGAGTGCTACTGTCTGAAAAATTCTCCTTTTAAAAGACTCCTGCTTCGAGTGACGCCAGTGGGGAAATCCAGCTCTGCCTGCTGTCCCTGAAATACTCTACTTTTATAGGGTTCCTCAGAGGAGAACTTTGATCTAAATCACTTTGTTGAGCTTACTACATTTAACTCTCTGGTAGAAACACAAGTCCCAAACTTCTTATTTCTGGGGGTAGTGGGGCAACTATAGTTACACACCTGTGTAGATCATCCATAGAACTGCTAGACTCCTTTTCAGTCCTTCTCTCAATGGTGAGAGCACAGATAAGACCAGAGAGAGAGACAGACACACACTCTTCTACATTTACACACTAGTGCTGGGCTGGGTCATTGTTACCACAAAATACCCATGTCCTCTCTCAGGTCAAACTTTTCTGATGCAGGAAGGGACTTAAAAATGAGCAGTCAGTGAGTACACAAATGAAGCATCAACATCTCTACAAGCTAATACAACTAGGGATCCCTGTGCTCTGCTCTGAGGTGGTGAGCTCTTCTACAATACAGATTCATTCCTAGACACTGACAGAATTATGGCAAAATGCTGTTACCTTACATAGTGCTCTGGTCTCTGCTGTGCAGGTACAGAACACTTCACAATGTTCTCGTCAAATGGGAAAGATTCATCATATGGAATTTAATTTTTTACACTCAGTTATATAACTTGCTACTTTAAGTGAGAGCTTAAAGGTTGAAATATCAGTTTTTGAACAGCATTATCAGGAAGTAAAGACAAAGTTCATAGCAGCTCTTTGTAAAGGAGAGTGCAGGAGGGGAGCAGGAATTAACCCTGCTGACATCTGTGTCTTTTGTCCCGCTGTAAAGCATATTAATGCCATGATGACACAAGATGGAATTCCACCTGTTTACAGTAACAATGTTTATGGCTGGAGTTTCATGAAGGCGCAAAGTCTCTATCCTTACTGCTGTGCACAAGTCCTAGTGTTAAGGGTTTCATTCCTGTGTTCTAGCAAAACTGAAGATGGTTTGGACGAGTTCATATCATTCAGCTACTGGATTCCCTTGGAGCGGTCTTCTAAAAACAATCTAGCCATGATGAATTTCCACCTTCACCCCAGAATCAGTCTTTATTACTGGCAGGCTGTAGGAAAACTGTCCAAAGCCAGGTTTTGATACTAACCATCCAGTTATTGTTAGTGGATATCAGTCTAGTTCCAGCCTTATTGTTATCTTCTGTGGACAGATGACTGCCCTGTGCATAACCTCAGCTGTCCTCTTCTAAGCTGCTATTGTCATGATGCATATGGTCTATTGACAACTTAGTTCTCCTGAGAACATGAAACATACCTCCTCCTGCCTTTTTACCCCCAACCTCCCCATCTTCCACAGGGCTGAAGGTGGCAATCTGACTGCTGAGCCACTGAAATCCTGACAGGTGGGTTTTTATATAGGCATTGCACCCACATTCTTCTATTGTGTTCAGAATACTTGGATTAAATTGTCTTTTGTTTCTTGACGCTGGTATTTCCATCTTGCTAGGAGCGTGACTAAATCGGCTAGTCCTTACATGAATGCCTCAGCCAGCCTCTTTTTGTAACAGGAGTAAAAGCGTTAGTCACTCTGACTTGGCTGTGTAATGGCCTATGAAAGATTGTTTCAGAGCCTCAGAGGACCATGCTAAAGGCTCGTTGGTAAGCTGTAAACACCAACCCAAGTGAGCTGGGAGGTGCTAATAATCTGATTCAGAGTTCACATCATTCTGACTTACTGTCTTTTTTTTTTTTTTTGTCTTCCTCTAGTACACCTCCAGCATGAGAGCCAAATACCTCGCTACCAACCAACCTCGCCCAGACTCTGGCAGTGTGCATTAAAAACATAACGCAGACACAGTAAAGCTAAACAAACGTGCCAACTGCTGCTACCCTGTGCTGTCAGTGTAGAACAACCCTGCTTTCCTGTCCCAAACCCAGCGCAACTCCTGCTTCTTCAATACAGACCACCCCTCCAACCTGGTACCTGTGCATTGGCAATCTGAATGGAAGCCCCTTTCAAATTAAATCTATACCTAGTTGTACGTGGAGAGAGAGTGTGCAAGCACCTGCAGAAGAACACCAGTTTGTCTGGGATTCACCTACTTGAGGCCAGTGTTGTCAACAGTCTATCAGGAAACCTTTGCAAATAGTTTTACTTCTATCTCCCCTACCCTCTCCATTCCACAGAGGAACTGGATGGAAGAACGTTGCAGATCTTCAGTTCTGTGAGGTGATCCAGCGGAGCTGCTCAGTCTGCAGTGCACTGAAGAAGCAGAGACTCCGAGCCCATGACTATACTGTACAGATCGAGAAAGCCATGCCAATGTACACTCTTAAAAGTTATGTGCGCCTAGTGTTTTTAAAGAAGTCTTCTTGCCTGATACCTTGTGTGGAGGCTCCCTTCCTGTGTCACTGAATACCTACTTTAAGCTGGGAGTCTGACCTGGGCTCCACTCTCTCCTCTGGTGACTTTAAATAAGCTTTTCCTTTCCCCTTTATAACCAGCTTTTGCATTCTTGAGGAGTAGGCGGTTTTCAGCACCAGCCAGCTGTCTCAGATGCACCCCTGCCTGCCCATTGCTGTGAGCCTGACCTTTCTGCTCCATCAGGGAAATCCCTGTACTCACAGATGGCATTCTGGGTGCTGCTTTTGTGAGATTGGGTGCACACAACACACAGGAGCCAGCAACTCACTTGGTGCCAATTTTTTCCAGGAAAAGACTTGTAAGACTTAGGGTTTTTTTGCACTAAATAGTTTCAGATCTCTAGGGCAATAGCCTGGCACTAGGTCTCATGGGACAGTCAGCTTGCAAGAGAGATTGTAAGCTCCATTGAAGGAGTCCAAGGAGTTACTTGTGACAGACTGCTGGACTCTTCCATTAATGTTTGGAGTAGAAAAGTCAAGTCCCGTGGCATTGGCTTTAGAGGAGGATCCTGGGGCCTTAGCCCAAAGTTCGTCATAAGAGCAGCAAGGTTGCAGCCTCCTTGGCTCTGCGCTCCAGGATCAGAAAACAAAAGTCTTAACACATGAATGTTGGGGGGGGTTGTTGGTTTTTTTTTTCTGGTCATTAACTGCTAACCACTAACTGCCATACACAAGGCACATGTGAATAAACTCCTAGTATCTCCTAGCACACTGTGCATGGGCCACAAGTGCAATGGAGTGTACCTGCAGGGGGCAGCATCCTACACCAGTTCTGTACTTCGTTGAAGAATGGTGCTCTACAGGACATAAACCACTTTTTACTAGAAAAGACTCCAATGTGCAGCTGTGCGATAAATGGATATGAACTTTATACTCCAGTAGATCAAAGCATAGTCCTTTCTGAATTTTCCTTTCTGTGCAAGCTGTCTTAATCTAGTTACTTAGGGAGACTTAAGCAAGAAACAGAATTAAAGTACAAAATCTCATAAATCTGAGGTGGGCCACAGGACAAATGTGGTTCAAATCTAGCACCACAATATCTGGATTGCATCAAAGGAGAACTCCTTTCTCATCTTTTAGTTTGCTCTGTTTTGTGAATGTCCATAATGTGGACCAGTCAGCCTAGCAATCTGCCTTTGCTCTGGATGATCTCATCAGACTTCTCCAGATCTTGTCCTTTTCTCTTTACTAGGGGGTGAGTTATCACCACTCTGGGAACATTTTGCATATTCCACGGATGATTAACTAGGATGCCAATACTTCCTATAGGGGAAGCGTACATACTCCAAGAAAAGGGGTATTTTGAGACATCTCAAGGAAATAAAAGCCACTAACGGACTAGCCTCCAACCTTTGGAGGAATGGGGAAGAAGGAAGGAAGGAAAGTAGCACACTGACCCGTTTTTCTTGGAGAGGAGGTCTCAGGGTAAACACTAGTTATGTTCCATCACAGATCCCTTTAAAACCTGGTATGAGAGCTGCATGTGTGGTGGGTGGTATACGAGCATGTGACACTGCTGGCTTACAAGCTTCTGGACCGTTGGATGCTCTTAACAGCTGGTATGATTGAGTGGGGAAAACTGAAACCACACTTTGTCAATTTAGAGAAACCCCCATTTTCCCGTAGTCAATTTGGACTATTTCCCATGTCTGTCAGCTAGGGGCTGCACAGACTCAAATACTTGAGGCTTTTAGATTTAGAAGAACTGCCCCAAAATCTGCTGCATGCCTCTCAGTAGTCCTTTAAGGCAAGTGTTGGAAGAGCATAAAGCAGGAAATAAACTTCAGTCAAACAGGTGCAGCTGTCGGCAGCTTTTGCTGTACAAAGAACACATGGGTTTTCCTACTGGGCCTTAGGAGAAGTAGGATGCAACATTCCAGAGCCAGCAGTCCAATGCTGGTAATAACAAAGAGCCAATACCTTTCAGTGCAGTATCCAGGCTGGATACTGCCTTAACTTGCTTCCTTCCCAGGCTTAGCTTAATCAGTTGTACTGTCCAGAACGAATTCTAACAGGGTTCATAGGCTATAACCAGTTGCTGATTGGAGATCCGTGCTCTGTGACTTTAAAGTGTATTAAGGAAGAATTCTGTGGGACACTGCACTCCCTGCGTGGCCAGCAGAACAAGACTGCAGTGTGAGTGGTGTGCTCTGTGTACTGTGTGGTTCCACCCAGGACTTCCTTTAATTAACATGGATTTTGCACTTTTGTAAAGAGTCACAGAGCCCTGCTGTCCTACTGCATATTTTAATGCAATGTTTCTATTTATTTTTTTATATGGCACTTCTAGGGGTTAGTCCAAATGGATCTGCTGCAGAGCCAGTAGCATGTGCTCATTAGTACGGGTGTGAAGTGATCGCTGTAGTCTAAATGACCAGTCTGGTTGGGGGGGTGGGGGGGTGTGCGCAAACCCTGAATGCATGTAGGCACAGCATGGCCGCCAAGGAGTAGACCTCTCAAAAATTCAAGATCTCCCAGAGTCTCTTCCCCCTTCCTCCGCCATAGGGTGAACAGCAGGAGCTTAGTGGCAAAGAGTTGTAAGTGGCACCACTAGTTATAGGAGGCTTAGATACAGTGAGTAAAACTGGAGTGTCTTTTTTTTTCTCTTCTGTAATTTGTATTGCGTTTTAATGTGTGAAATGTCCATGCCAGATCACTCAGAATGTGTCCCAGCTGACTTCTCAAGAGCACACAATCATCTCAGAACCTAGCCACGTTGTTGCTTATTAGTACATGGCTCCAAAATTCAGGGGAACCGTGAGACTCTGATCTCCGGACACCTTGCTGACGGCAAAACGGGAGGCAGCTCCTGTGTGGTTAGAAAGGTGGTAGCAGCAAAGACACTTCATCTTTCTTTCTTTCTTTCTTTTTTTTTTTTTTTTTTTTTAAAAAAAGCGTAAACAGTCATCGGCTTGTCTGGTTTGTTGGGTTTCTTTCCACTCCATCTCGTACAAATGATGTTTTTTTGATTTTTTGGAGCTGAGACCTTTCAAGCACACCAACATCGCCACAATGTGAAATGTAAATAGCATGTTGGATTCTTTTTTGTGTCCAGTGTTCAGAACTGCATTGTAATTGTAAAGGAAATCGAATCAAGACTTGGCTGTGAATTTCTTGTGCTGTCTTGGGAATATAACTGTAGTGTTTGTATCCTGTATGTACTATTAACTGAATTCATTTTATTTGCTGATAAAAGGGTTCAAATGGAGATCGCAGCATCCATCATGTGACCAAACCTGCCCGGGGGGGGGGGATTTGATTGCCCCCCACCCTCTTTGAGTTCTTCCCATGTGAAAGGTATTCATTTGTATAGCCAGCTCTGGGCACAGAGGGGTGTCCATCTGAGTGCTTTGAACTGGCCGTTTTGCATGAGGGGAGTTTTTGGAATGGCCCCAGAGGAGGAGTCACACGGAAGTTGCCCTTAGAACATATAATGTTCATGTGCACAGTCCAGGCTTTCCCAGAAAGAACAGCTTCCATGGGCTGGCCTTGTGCTCTGCTTGTAATTCTTGGCACTGTGGTGTGGATAGCAGATGGAGGCACTTGCTCAGCAGAATCTACAAATGCTTATGTAGATAAAACCCACCTCTGACTCCTGGGTCTGGTTTCTTCCCCCCTGCACCCCGGGAGCAGCCAAGGCTTGAAGTCAGTGCAGAGACTGCACAGTGCCCTTTTGGAGGGAGGAAAGGGAGAGTGTCACTCTGCTGACAGGGCCCCTTCAAGCTGATTTAAGGATAGGTGGGTTCCCATCCTTTTGTTAGAAGGGTGGTGGTTACATGGCAGGACCTGGGGAGCAGAGGGCTGAATGAAAGGAAATAATGGAGATCCTCATTGTGCTGAAAGGGACAGTGTAGCTTTGGGGGAGAAGGAAACTCTCCTCCCTGTGGCTTTTTCTTTCCCTGCATTGCAAGGTCCTTCATTACCAGGCAGGATATACCTGGATAGTATTGGAGCATCATGCAGGAAGACATTGACTCCACAACCGGGAACTCCAGGATCTGTTCCCTGAACGTGGCCAGAAATCCAAAAGGAGCTGAGAGGGAGGGAGTGCATATTGGCTATCCTAGCACTCCTTCCCTCTAGCCGGGTGGCGTATTCTCCCGGGTGGCGTATTTCTGCCAGAGCAGCATGGAAGAGCTGGGACTGTGGGTGGGAGGCACTGTGGAGACTCTATTTCAGAGAGAGCGAAGCTCCTTGCTAGAGGCAGCCTGCAGCAAGGAGTCTTGAGAGAAGCCAGGCTTCCAACCGCCTGCACTGCACCAAGAAGCCACACTGTCCCACAACTGTGCAGGGACACCAGCAAACAGTCAGGTGGAACATTACCCCTCCAATCACTAGGACAGACTCTGCTGCTTGTTGAGAAAGAGGACTTGGCAGGGCTCCCCACCCGGCCCTGCATTTTACCCAAGATTCACTTTGCACTCCCAATCTCCCCTTCTTTAACTAGAGGCTGACATCGGGGAGTGACCTATGCACGGTTGGCGAGGTAGCATCAGGAGGCAGAAAATTCTAAATGTTATCAGTTCCTAAACTCTGAGAGCAGGCTGACCTTCCAAACAGATGAGTGGAGCCTCCTGCTGCCCCTCTTCTGTCAGTGCGTGGCTCCACCAAGTGTGGAGAGGGAGAGTTGGCAAGTGGTTAAAGCACAGGGCTGGTAGCTGGGACTCATAGCAAACAAGCAGCAGTCTGGAATAAGAGCTATGTGACTTTGTGGGCAAATCACGTAGCCTCTCTGTGCCTCAGCTTCCCGTTGTAAAAATGGGGGATCATTGACAGGAGGCATGATTTAATTATTTATTTCTGAGATCTCTGAAACTGCCCATCAGTCTGAGGGCCTGGACAAAAGGAAATGGAAACCGATATGCCTGACAATATGCGAAGTGTGAAGTTTTATTCTAAAGAGGGTAACCCCTACCATTAGGGTCTTTCTAGGCACTCTGCGTTCAGTACCGAATTTCTCCTCGTAAAATTCCAAACTCTCTCTCCCTCCCACGTTCCCATTCCGAATCAACCAGCAGATGTCTCCAAAGGCCCAAGATCCAAAGGCAGCTGAAGTCAATGGAAAGACTCCTATTGGCTTCAGTCATCTTTGGATCAAACCCTAGTGGCCCAGCTGTTGCATCACGCTCCTCGCGTCCCTTGTTTGCAAGCGTGAGCTGGGAAGTCCCTGTGGGTTTAGTTCTCTATCATCTTTAAGAGGGAAGCTTTTAATTTGTTTTTGACACTGTGCACGGAAACTTACTGGTGAACATGTAACTGGCCTTTTTGTAATTCTTTTGTTCTTATTCTTAACCATAATGGCTGTATATCGTACCACTTTATATACATATATGTATAATATATAAATATATACTTTTTTTAAACCTTTGGACCTGCTAGTTCCTTTCAAGTATTCCTGCACTTACCTAAAATGTTTTTAAATTGTGAGGGTTAAACTGAGGAGTGAGCCCATTTTGTATCTTTCCTTTTTCTTCGGTAGTTTTGATTGTACCGTAGCTATTTTTTACTGTAATTTTTGTTCTGAAAAATATAAAAAAAAAAAAAAAAAACCCTAAATGTAACTTGTGGTTTCTATTCAGCTTGGGTTTAATGTTTTAAAATAAACAAATGAAACTACATAGCACTGTTCTATTTTGTAACCTTCTTTTATTGGTAGAATCTCTTGCTTTAATTTTGACATTTTGCCTGTTACTATACCGCTAAGTATACACAACATTGTACATTGTGTTGATCCTGCTAATGCAGTGGTTCTCAAACTTTTGTATTGGTGACCCCTTTCACATAGCAAACCTCTGAGTGTGATTTCCCCCTTATAAAAACACTTTTTTAAAAAAAATATATTTAATACCATTATAAATGCTGGAGGCAAAGTGGGGTTTGGGGTGGAAGCTGACAGCTCATGACCCCCCCATGTAATAACCTCATGACCCCCAGAGAGGTCCTGACCCCCAGTTTAGAACCCCTGTGGTAATGCTACCATATGTTTTAACTGGTAAAGTTAAGCATGTGCACAAGTGTTCCAGAATTTGTGCCTTGTGGAGGATACAGTTTTGAATCTGCTACTATGGCCATTAGAAATCCTGGATCTGTCTCAGGGAGTTATATCAGGGTTCCAAATGTGGACTCTCTTCTGCAATTTGGTGTATAACATTTCTGAAGAGGCTGAAAGACCCAACTAAAGGTTTGGGTTTTTTTCCTCCTGGTAAAGGGAAAATTCTAAATCAAGGTGATCCTTTAAAAACAGTTTAAAATTTTAATCTCTCCTGAAGAGTCTGCTGTTGGGCATTTGGAAGGAAAAATACTGGATTCACTGAGTTTTGAAAACTGCTAGTGAGTATTTCTGGTCACTGTCTTGCACAGCACTTTCTTTGACCATTTGTCACATTCAGGTGTAACAAGTGCCCAGGTGAAATGGCAAAACTGGTGATAGGGGGTGGGGGTGCGCTCATGTGCCTGCCTACCACACTCTTAAATAATCTTCATACTGTGCTACGGGAACTGTCCAGCTAATGTGTTGAACATGTCAGTCGGGGACTGAATTTTATGATTGTTCCAAAAGCTCACTATCACGCTGTTCTTCGCTGTAGTGTGCTTGACCCGCAACAAATAAAGGGTTAACTTTACTGGTGAAGTTCAAACTTGACTGTACGCATTCCCATATTTACGAATACAATGGGGGGGGGGGGGGGAATCCCATGTTAGACCCTCACAGACCCCTTCAGAAGACTACAAAATGAATGTAAACTGCTCCATAAAAACACCACCTGAAGGCAAGCTGACTGGGGCAGTTTGTAGTTGAATTGTCTCCCTCCTTACCTGGCTGCAGAGTAGCCAATAGGTGGTGTGTGTTTGGTTTTTTGCAGTTCATCTGTAACATCCTCTGATCACAACAGCAACATGAATCCTTTTCCTTCCTGTACTGCAGTTTTGGTTGGTCTGTCTACTCCTGTCTGTCTCCGCTGGGGCTTTTATTACTAGCTACTGCCTGTCTTCTGCTCCCTGACTGCTGCGTGAATTGAGGGCCGCCTGTATGAAAAGATTAAATCCAGGTAACCACAGAAAAGCCAAACTCATGATCGTGCTGCCAGCTCTTGCCATTCATCCCAGCTAACTAATTCAAGCACCTTAGGATGGGGTTACTGGGAAGGGAGAAAAATGGGGACTTCCAGAGTGCTTGTGCAGGAGGGAAGGAATCGCAAATGGTACTAGGGAGAAGGCAGAGTAATCTGGTAATGGAAACGATCTAGTAAAAAGAATTTCTAACTCAAATGGTAGCACAAGAGCCCCACAGCCGTGGAATTTGCTTTGAGAAAGCAGGTATGTGATCAGACTGGGTTCAGTTAGGTGGTACGTCTGTATTGTGTGTATCTGATCAGCTGAGAGATTTTCATGCAGTACTTTAATGTCATCACCAGGTGGCAGCAGTCTCCTACGTTGAGATGTGATTCTTCAGCTTCTTGCCTGGGTGAAAGAAACGGGGCTTCCAGGAGAGATTCTGGCTGTAGGGCACAATAGAATGTCCTGGATCACCCTTACCACTACCTCCCCTTCCTCCTGTCTAGTCTCCTCCTCCTCCCTTTTTCCCCCATACTGCCCCTTGCTGTTAATAATCAACTTCTGATCTCCCCCAGACGCAGAGAGCTTACTGGATTCCGGTCTGGGTATTCTGCTGCCTGCGAGGACAGGGCTTCAGGAGCAACCTGTGCATCAGATGAACAGGGTCAGTCCCTGGCATTGCAAGGCACCTGTAACAGATGGGTTGAGATAATGGGCTTGGGCTCAGGCCCTCTGTAAGTCAGTGGAAAGACTCCATTGACTTCAGTGGTGTCTTGGAGCCTGATCAGAAGCTTTCAAGGAGGGGCTGGATTAGGCTTCTCTTTTCCTATAAACTCATGAGTTTGGGGATACTAATGCTTTGCATTTCTCTGTCCTCTATATTATCTGAGGAGTCTTTGCAGACATGGAACGGCCCTGCAGCCTGTGAAGCAGGTAAGGGAATGTACAGGGATCGCTGCCCCCACACCTGACATGCAGCTGTGTTCCACTTTGGGCAACTAATGTTGGTGGGTGTAATAGCTGTTTAGGGCAGGAAGTAAATACCATGTCCCCGTGCTGTTGCTGTGGGAGTGGAAGTAGGTGGGGTATCCTTACCCAAGCTAGAATATATGGTCAGAACAATGCTATTAACAATAGAGCTGGATGGGGCGGGTGGGGGAATTCTACTATAGATTTAACAACCCCAATCCCTTGCTTTTTCCAAAACCTTTCAAGTGGCTTTTCGGTGAGGGAAAAACTGAAGGCTGAAAATGCTGCTTCCCGGGAGTGGTAATTCAGCTGCCTTATCTCTGTTCTCTAGGGGCTGGGATCCCTGGCTACGCTACATCTTCCATGATATGCACCATGCTCCCTGTGCTGGGTGACATGCTGTGGTGAGGCCAGCTGGGGAACCTGGCCCTTACCGTAGAGAAGAATGGGAGCATGGGGCACCCTGATTGCAACTCCGATGTGACCCCACGGAGGCCTTTCTGAACTGAACTTCAGGGCTTAGGCTAAAATTTTTCAAATGTTTGTGGGGTTTTTTAACAACTCCTTTCCCCCCCCAAAAAAAATTCCATAGAAAGCAGCCATTTTTCTTAAATCCACTGAATAAAATTTCTGCAAATTCTCATTGAAAACTTTTGACCAACTCTTATTACTACCCCTGTTCTTACCTGTAGTGCTGCACCATCTTAAATGCATACAAATTGTCAGAGCACAGTTCTGCCTTTTGCCCAAAAGACAGGGGTCTCATGCTGATTCTGCAGCACTGGTCCACTGCTGATCCAGAGGGCTGATTACAGCCACCTGACTAATCAACACCACTGCCTGGAAAGGTGAAGCCTTCTCGTTTAAGTAGTGACGTGGCCTAACCCTGCTTACCTTGGGGGAACTGATAGGAATTGCAGCACGAACTCCCAGGCTGCGGACATGTCACACCACTAAACCATTTTACTCAAGGGGAGCCCAGTACCTTGCAGTGCACATGACATGGGCCATAGGAATTATTCCCGTCTTGCCTCCCCGTTTCTGGAGACTGGAGAAGGGGTGGTGAACTTGGTAGCTGAAACAGTGGGGAAAGGCTTAAGCATCCACAGCCTGAGCTCCTGTGGCTGGAAACTTCTGTGTTTCTCCTCTGCCTTAGACACCAGCTATTCACTGATTTAGCAATTGACATCAGTAGGTGGTATGAGCTGGGTTTGGAAAGAGTTCTAGCCAATGGAAATGGCTGGGCAAGGTGTGGGAAGGAGAACATGACTGCCATGAAGCCCTTGTAATAAAGGGAAATGAAGGAGCCTATGGAACAGGTGTCATATGCTCAAGAAATGACTCACTCCATGTGCCACACATCCTTTGACTTCAGAATTAAGGCAGAATCTTTTGAACCAGACTGTTTTACAAGTCCCCGGGGTAAGTCATGAGGGAGTCTGACTGTTTGGTGTTTGTCCCTGAACAAATATCAGGATTTGGAGGGTAATGGGGGTCACTCCTACATCTGAAGACACTATCTCTGGGCAGACCTGTGCTGGTGCGTGTCTCACTGTAGAAAGCAGCAGCCACATACGCTATGCTTGACTTGAAAGCTATTTGGCTTTCTTGAACACTGCTCCTCTGTTGGAGACTTCTTTGGAATTAGGATAATTTCCATGGTGGGGGTAGATGTTTTGCTTTTCCTAGTGTCAGTCTGAATCTGGATGAGGGATGTGAACTTTTCTTTTTACAGCTCTTGCTTGTTAATATAATTGAAATCTGTATCCTTGTACTTGGATCTCAGCTAGGAATAATCTTATTAGGAGAGCAAGTTGAGCTGGGACAGCATTAATGAGTATGCTATGGCTGTATAGTGTAACTCTTCCAGAAGGCCACCCATCCCTGACTGTATCAATACATAGATACAGTGCCAGCTTCCCTATGTTGCCTTTCAAATAACCTGGCAGGATTAGTCTCTAGGCAGGACTAGCTTCCTTCCCATCCTCAACAACTGCCAGCTTTGCTTCATTTCATCTCATTGTGGGCCCTAGTGAAAGCACTTGTTTTGCCTGGAGATGAAGTGCCTGTGTCCTCTACCTCCCCCTGCCCCTCCCCCCATCTGAGATGATTAAACCTGAGCTCATCTCAGAGTGAGTGAGTTTCTGGCTTCCACTGGAAAGTGTGAGGAGAAATCATTGACGAGAGCAAGAGCCTGTGTGGTTCACTGTGTAAATATTTTACTGAGTTCGATGTCTCCCACCAGGGCTCAGAATGTGAGAATGCCACCCGCACAATGACCTTTAACGAGGCTGTACCTATCCAATAGCACTGCCCTGCCCTTTCCCAGGAGGGAGGGCTCGAATCCTTGATCCACACTTCTACACTGTCTACTCATGCAACAATGTGCAAAGTGCAGCTCTATGCTCAGGGACAATCCCCTGGGAGAACCGTACAGTGAGGGTTAAGTATTTGTCAGAATAAAGCTTTGTAGATGGAGAAGCTCAGCTGGAAGGAGCAATTCTAGGTATCTTTTGGCAAAGGGAGCTGGTCGCTTTGGTTGGGGGGGGGGAGTGTGAAGAGAGGCAAAGGGCCATATTTTCAAAACTTGTGTGC